CGACGCAATATCAACTGTAAAGCCAACATACTGGCCCACTGACATAAATAAAATACAAGACCTTATCGACTTACAAACACAAAAAAACACAAAAACAAATTACATAGAGATAGAAGAGGCATTGGATATGAACTCGACCAATTCTCCAATTATTCTCATACGCAGTGACACTGTTATCAAAAAAGAAACCCCCTCAGACTCGTTAACAAAAATACTGTCTGGAAAAGTTAGACCTTGAAGAGAAGATTAAGAACCGTTGATCAACTACAGGCAGAAGTAGAATTACTCAATAAAAATGTACAACAAGCTGCTTGGAACAACAACACGAACAATATCGAAAGAATAAAAGAAAATAACTACCCGAAAGAAATCAGAGAAATGATAAATGATGAGCGAAAAAGAAAACTGAGACGTAATTGGCATCAGTCTAGAGCACACTAAATTAAATAATGCCTCACAAAAATTAAAAAGAGAAATTTAAAAAATTAAATCGGTTAGCATCTACCTAAGTGAACTATAAAATGATAGCGCTACCGAGTACTTATTGTGAAAGGCTACAAACGATTAAAAAGGCCAATCTTACAAAATCCACCAATTCGAAATATTAATGGTAGCTGGGCAAGAAGCAATATACAAAAGGCCAACAGGTTTGCTGAAAACCTAGAAAATACGTTTCAACCAAATGAAGGACAAGAAATAATTAACTGGGAGCCCCCTGATCAAGATTAGCCCTGTAACTCCAAAAGAAGTATATTTGGAAATAAAGGAAAATATAAATCCAAAGAAAGCTCCTAGATTTGATCTAATTACACATCTTATAAACGCTTCCTTTAGGCTGAGGTACCAAAGATGTGGAATGTGGCAGAAATTATAATGAAACTAAAATCAGAAAAACCTTCACAAGAAGCTACTTCATATAGCAGGCCTATTAAACTGTTACCTGTCATGTCTAAATTATACGAAAAATTACTCTTAAAGAGACTAAAACCGATTATAGAGGAAAAAATCTAATTCGTAATTATCAGTTTGGGTTTAGAGCAAGTCACTCAACGATAGATCAGGTGCATAGAATAACAGGCATAGTAGAAAAAGCTCTAGAAGAAGGAAAAGTCTGTCCTGCAATTTTCCTCTATGTAGCGCAGGCTTTTGACAAAGTGTGGCATGACGGATTATATCATAAAATGAGATGATACTTACCAAAACAATATTCTGAACTACTAGAATCATATATATCCGACAGATACTTTCAAGTTAAATATGAGAAAGCATATTCAGAATTAAGAGAAGTTAGAGCTGGAGTTCCACAAGGAAGTGTCCTGGGGCCAGTGCTATACCTGCTCTATACCAGCGATAGTCCGTCATTAGAATATAATACAATTGCGACATTTGCAGACGACACATGCATTCTAGCAGTCGGACAAAATTACGAGGATGCAGCAACCATGCTATAGAACTCTGTTGAATTAACTCTGTTAAATTAACATCTGGACCAGGCGATGGCGTGTCAAATTGAATGAAACACAATCTGTTCATGTCAATTTTACTAAAAAAAGAGAAAAACATATCCCAGTTAGTATAAATTGAAAGCAAATACCTTATGCAAATAAGGCAAAATATTTGGTTATGACTTTAGATTCCAAGCTACATTGGATAGTACATATTAAGAAAAAAAGAAGGATAGGTAAAGAAATAATAAATAAGACTTACTCACAATCAATTTAATTTAACTATCAGACGACCGGTTTCGCTTTCTACAATATGCAAAGCATCTTCAGGTCTCGATACAAAGTTAAATAAATGCTGAAATGATAAAAACCCATATTAGGGTGTTGTCTAATAAAGATAAACAAAGTAGATGTTGTAAATTACAAAAATTATGCCAATATTACATGTCTGTGGTTTTATTTAAAAGAGTAAGTTGAATAAAAAGTATAAAAGTTTTAAAAAGTTTAAACAGACAAGGTAAGGCCCACAAATTGTTATAAAATAATCTATTAGATTGTAATAAATTAATAAATGAGCAAATAAATAAACATTACTTACATGCCGGTACTCTATTAATTGATGGATGGTAGAACATGGTTGAAACTACTATGTATTGTTGAATGGAGAACTCAATTCTGCTATTGTAAACAGTAAACTGTATTGTTTGACAGTAAACGGGAAGTTCTTGATGAGAGATTTGATCCAATGAAGCAGAGATATGTGTGATTGTTTGTTAAATGAAAGTGATGTAATATACCATTGTATTATTAAAAGTTATTTATACTTATTCGAGAGATATATTGATGAAATGTGTATTATTTATTGAGTAATTGTTTTATGAAGGTGACAGTTTTATGACAATGAATAAGTTTAGATGTACAAATTGTGTGGGTGTGCAATTATTTTTCAACTTGTAGTTATCAAATTTCTTTGATAAAGTTCTATTGGCAAAATAGTAGATTATTGCAAAGTCAAGTAAATAAAATATTAGAATTAAAACAATTAAGGACAATTTAAAACACCCTAAAACAGAAAACACTTAGAAGGAACGAAACAAACATTAAATTTAAAAGGGGGAAGGACTTTTATGCACTTCATCTCAGTCTTGGGCACAATGAGTTTTTTGTGTTATCTATTAGATTGATTTTAGTGGTAAATTTGACAGATGTAGGTTAGCATGTGACAGTTCTTCTTCTGTTTCTCAATACTGCAAGTTAAGTTATCTAGTTTTATGAAAGATGCTAATATTAATGAATGTCTATAAATTGTTTCCATTAAGATATCAAAAGTAAATTGATGTGTTTAATATTGGCACACTTTAACAATCTTTAATTAATTAAATTTAAATGTAACAATACGAATAATTGAAATACATCCCACATTATAACTAACTCAGTTCAATGTCCAAATTATTGAACAAATTAAAGTGATTCTTTGGCAACTGAATATGTACATTTTATAATCAAATGTATAAAAATTTTACAAAAGTTTTTTATTTTTATTTGAAATTATTGTTGATGTGAGTTACCTGTCATGGTGTTTTTAAATATTTTAGATATTTAATTCAAATTCTGATATATTAATATATTAATATCTGATATATTAATATGTAACCAAAGCAACAAATGGATAATTATAGATGGTAATTAATTTATGGGCTCAAGAAATTGACTGAATTATAAAGCCTTCAATAATTAGTTGGTAGTTCTAATATCTGACAGTTGGAACCGGAAATTGTTATACGAACAGGTAGAAAGATCCTCTATTTAAACCGGTATAAAGTAAATTTATTCTTATTTCAAATAACCGTAGAAAACGAAACCGGTCGTCTGATAGTTAAATTAAATTGATTGTGAGTAATTCTTATTTGTTATTTCTTTACCTATTTGAAATGGACTCACACAAGCAACACATTCATGATTTGAAAAAAAGAAGGAATTAGAAATTAAGTTCAGAAAGATGTACTAGTTGATGGGGGAAAATCCACTCTGTCTACTTATAACAAATTGTTATTGTATAAGCAAGCCCTTAAACCAATATGGACGTATCATATTCACTATTAGTTCTTCCGTCTGGTCCAATCCACGGCCATTTTCTGATCGTTTTTTTTTTTAAACAAATGTTCATTGCATATAGTTGTTTATGTTGCAACAGAAACTTATAATTGTCTTTTTGCCTCTTTCGTTTCTTACTCCAATTCCAAAATCTCCGATTACCACTTCTTGTTATTCCTTTTGTCTTTACGAGTTTGTCGTGAAGATCTCCCATTATCAAATTGTAATAGACCAGTTTTTGCTTTGTCAATTTCCCCATAGAATATTTCAGATAAGTTCATCTTCACCTCCAACCAACACTAGTAGGGGCATATACCTGGATTCTTTTTAGATTGTATCTCTTGTTCAGTCTTAAAAACCTTGCGGAAATGCAGTCAATATTGTATGTTTTCTGCCATTTTCTGTATAATAATAAACCAATTCCTTAAAATTTTCGATTCGGTTTCCCCTTTATACGGGAATATTTTACCTAATTAAGTTTAACGTGATCTTCACGTTTGCTTTGGACTTGTCATTTTTGTATTTTTTAATAACGTTTTTATTATATATAATTTATTATGTATAATACAAAATATCAATAAACGAAAAGTCGTGGCAGTCCCTTGACATTTCACCAGTTTGACAGACGTTCGTGAAAAAATGTGATATCCAGGTTTTTGGTTAGCAAAAAAGAAAAAACACATCAATGGATGAAATAAATGTCTAAAGAATAAAAGAGCTGAGAGAGGTGTTAAAAAGAAGGATCAAAATAAGAACTCTGGTCTCGACGACTCTTAAGGAAATAAGGAATTTCTAGAAATAATTTTATTTAGGACTATTCATTTCACTAGATTAGAAATTATTATGGAAATAATTTTATCCGTTTAATCGCCCGAAATTCTTATTATATGTTTTTTATCACAGCAATAATTTTAACCATGCAATATTTAAATCTCACAATTAACAAACACGTTTTACTCATAAGATTAAAATTTATATCCGCGAAATTAAAGTTATTATTAGAGTGTATGTGTTAATTGCTTAATGTGTTGTTGTACAACTACAACTTTTTTATATAATACCTATCTGATTTACTGATAACAGTTTTTCGAAACTGTTGCCACTAAAAGGGTTTTGTCATCTTCCTCTAAATCGCTTTTTTATAACATTGGCAGTGTTCTAAGAAATATTGTACTTTCTATACTAGAATAAAATATAGAATGTTTAGATTTTTGTAGGGATAGGGCCAATCTTAATAGGTGTTAAACGCGTCCAAGCGCAGCCAAAACAAGCTTACGCAACAGGTCCGTTTATTTGAATACGAGAGCAGTGATAAACAAGTTTCAAATCACGTCCAGCAAGACTGCTTATATTTTTCGCCATCTGTCATTTTTTTAAAAATTAAAAAGTTGTGTTTTGTGAATTAAATTAATAAAAATTTGATTTATAATAATTTTATTAAAAAACACGTTCAATAAATATTTATACCACAGGTGTTAACATTTCTTCTCCTGCAAGACCTCTTAAAATATTTTGGGCTGTTAAAGTAGACATCGATTGTCTGGTTTCGTTTGTAGCACTCCCCAAATGCGGCATCAAAACTAAAAATGAAGTAATTATAAGTAAAATAGAATCAAACCACCTATATTTAATAATAAAAGAAAATAAATTGGATTTTCATATATTATTATCTATATGATATAATACCTAGTTTAGTTTCAGTGTGGCATTTTTTTTGCTGCACCTTCTGGTATTTCAGAACATTCTCCACCCTCTGTTCGAGAATTGCAGCACTAGGTTATTGAGATTTTAACCGCATGGTTAACTTAATCTTAGTTTGTCACCAATATCAAAAATCAAAATGAATGCATATCGTTAAACTTTAAAATTAGATGGTAGTGTAATGATTGGAACAAATCTTCTATTAGTAGAAACATACTAAACAATGTCCTATATAAGTCTATCTATATGTACAGCATTTGCTGTCCAATTTTGGACATAGGCCTCCTCTTCCTTCTTCCGCGTCTCTCTATTGTAGGCAGTTTGTTAGCCATGGAAAATGCAGTTACTTTGTAGTAATAGGTTCCATCGTTCCGGTGACAGACAGGTAATAGGTTCCGGTAACCTATTACTTTTGTCACCTATTACCCAAGCTGCAAGCAGCTCCATTCCGCTTGGTTTGCTATAGTTTCTTGTAGTAATCATAATACCCTTTTCAATAAACGAATACTTTCTACTGTTTATAGTTTATTTTTGTTTCAACGGTGAGTGATAAACATTCTGCATACGTTTGACGGTTGTGAAAAATTAACATTAAACATATATTATACTACTATGCTATAAATTACAAATCATATAAACATAGTCTCCGTCTTAATAAAGCTCATAGCTCATCATAAATTCGGTGACAATGACCATCTTATTCTGTTACCGATTGAGCTAATGACTCCTATCGTTCGATGTTGACGTCACGTCAACATATTGAATGCCGATTTCGAATACCAACGTTATAGTTACACTGTGACAAAAGTAATAGGCAGTTTGCTGTAACCTATTATTGAGAAAACGAATACTTATTGGTAATAGTGTTATTTACCCGAATACGTTATATAACGCCCATCTTTACAGTTTGTATCCACTTCGGGCCTGCGTGTTGCTTCAAGTCATCTGACCATCTCATTTTGTGGCCTTCCTCTTTTTCGTTTGTAACTATATGGTCTCCAGTGTATAATCATCTTATTCCATCTGTCGTCTTTCTGTCTTATGGTATGTCCAGCGAACTTCCACTTAAGTTTTGCTATCTGCGATGATACATCGGTCACTTTTGTTTTGTTGCGGATCCAAGTATTTCTTTTCTTGTCTGATAGCCTGATGTTCAGCATTTGCCTTTCCATGGCTCTTTGCTATTTTTTCCATGTTTTCCTTTGTAAACGTCCAAGTTTGAGAATCGTAGGTAAGAACAGGAAGTATACATTGGTTGAAGACTCTTGTTTTTAAATATTGGGTGCATTTTCTATGTTTTAGTATATAGGAAAGTTTTCCGAAGGATACCCAAGCCAACCGTATTCTTCTCTTTATTTCTCCGGTCTAATTTTCTTTATTTAATTTAACTAGTTGTCCCAAATATACATATTCTTTTACTTGTTCTATAGTTGTTTGTGCAATTGTAATTATTAATTCTTCTGGTTGGTGCATCACAATTTTAGTTTTATTATAATTCATTTGTAGACTATTTTTGTTGATTTGCTATTTAATTCATCCATCATATTTTGTAATTATTCCCTTTTATCTGTTATTAATACAATGTCGTCAGCATATCTCAAATGATTCAAGTATTACCCATGTATGTTATTACCCCGTTTTTCCCAATGTAATTTCCTCATAGCGTTTTCCAAAGCTGGATTGAATAGTTTGGGTGATATAGTGTCACCCTGTCTGACTCCTCGCCTTATCTTAATAGGCTCCCTTTGTTCAACTATTTTAATGGATGTTGTTGCTTGATCATACATATTGGAAATTAAGTCTGTATATCTATAACCTACTCTCCCATTTTGTAAAGAGTTCTTTATTGCCCAATGTTTCACCTTATCGAATATTTTTTCAAAGTCTACAAATGCCATATACATTGGGATTTGATATTCGTTGGCCATTTCAATTAATATTTTTATCTTAAGCAGATGGTCGCTTGTACTGAATCCTTTTCTAAAACCGGCTTGCTCTCTTGACTGGTTATTATCTAACTTAGTTGTTAATCTGTTGGTTAGTAGTTTAGTTAACAGTTTGTACATTGCATTAAGTAGCGTTATGGGCATATAGTTTTTCAGATGTTTTCTATCGACTTTCTTAAATAGAGATTTGTATAATATTCGTGCGTTATCTGTAAAATTACTTTTATATTGTTGGTTTCCACTCCGTCTTTGTTCTTTATGCTATTAATTTGTATGTTTCCCAGGTTCTGCTTTAAGCACTTCATGTTTTTATTTTTTTCAATTCTTTTCTTCTTCTTTTTTTTTTGTTTTCTATATGAATACGATAAACAAAAACAAATACTCGCTGGGACTAAGATCCAACACCTAATTTTAGATTAAGCAACAAAACTAGGAGAGATTGAAATTTTATTAAACTTTCTCTGCCAGGAATAAATACAGTCATTACATTTAAAAGAAACTTTTACTATATTCAAACAAAAACCGTTCCTTGTATTGAACTTACCGACATTTGGCAACGTTAGTAGCTCATGGTTTGATGGTAATGGTTCAGGAGTCATAACATCTAGACCAGCAGCAAAAATAGTATGCCTCTTAAGAGCATTTATTAATGCTGGTTGGTCAACTACTTCCCCTCTACTAATATTAATAAATACTGCAGTCTTCTTCATTTTTGAAAAAAATTCTTCGTTGCACATATGGTGTGTTTCTGTTGTTAAAGGTACGATGACTATAACGAAGTCACTGTCTTCGAGAAGTGTATTTAGCGATACAAATTTAGCTCCCAATTCGATTCCTAAAAAGAATAATAACTTATTTAGTTACAGTCGGTCAGATAGCTCAGCGGGCTGTGCGGCTGCCTCTCATTCGCTTCACTGTCGAATGGTTTAGTGGATGTGGGTCGAGCCCCAGCTCGGTGTACGGAAAACAAAAAGTCTAACGCAGCAGTTTAAAATTCTAGATGAATCTGCGGCTTAGACTAGGATATGCTGGGATCTGATCGGCCTATGGTGGAGCAGTACGGCAAGAGATAAGGGCTTGCGGCTCAGTGATACTCCTCCATAGATCCCTACCGGACGGGCGTAACGCCTAAAGAAACCGGATATATATATATATATATATATATATAGTTACAGTAAGAACACTCTTACAATCTTCACAGCAATAATTCGTCACTTTTAAAAATTGTAGTTCTTGTTCACTGTCTAACCACAATTGACCGGTTCGAGGTTGTGAGCTCATACTTATATCTGGGATCATTAATCACAAACACAGGGTCATTACAAGAAGAGATTAAACGTAGATGTGATCTAGCAAAAGTTGCCACAGCAAAAATGACCAAAATATGGAAGGAACGTCAAATTTCAAGAGCGATAAAGATGAGGTTGATTAACTGCTTAATATTCCCAATACTGACCTACGGATGTGAATCTTGGACTCTGAGACAATCGGAGAGAAGAACTATAGACGCCACTGAAATGTTCTGTTGGAGACGAATGTTACGAATTCCTTGGACCGACCGTAGAACAAATAATTCAATTTTAAGAGAGCTAAAAGTTAGCCAACGACTCTCTAGTAAAGTCCATCTCCAACAATTAAAATATTTTGGGTATGTTATGAGAGCAAACACAGAAAACATGGAAAGACTCATAATACAAGGAAAGGTAGAAGGCCGAAGATCACGAGGAAGATCCCCAACAAGATGGATAGATCAAATTACAGGAATATGCCAAAGACCTATGCATGAATTAAAATAAATGACCAGAGACAGAGATCTCTGGAGACGGACAATACACGACATAACGTCGACCACTACACTCCCCCTGGGGGGTCAGGATTGGAGAGAGAGAGAGTTGACTGTCTATCTATTACTGATTTGAGTTAAATAAGCTTTCTTAAATAGTCACAGGTGCTCATGTCTACCAAATGGGATGCTGTAGAAAGAGATGGAAGGTTCGGATGGGAAGTTAGAGATTATGTGGTTGACGTTTTTACAGTTTTATGGCATATAGGGTGGGTTACAAAATGTTAAAGTATAATGTATTTAATAAATCTACGTCCCTTTTGTCACTGAGTGTGTTTGGGCACTGTTTTATGTGTATTGCCTCGTATATTTCCCTTTTCTTTGTTTTTTCTACTTTTAGAATTTTTGTTTATTCAAAATTGAAGTGGTGCTTTTGTCGTGTTCCTTTTATCATATGTGTGAATTTAATCAAAAAAAGACTGTCAAGAAGTGTATATTGGCCAAATAACTCACCACCTATATTCTAGATTAAACACACATAAATATGATAAAAGGAACACGACAGTCCTTACCAAACATGAAAAACAAAAACATACCTTCAATTTTGAACAAACAAAAATTCTAAAAGTACAAAAAAAAAAAAAAAAAAAAGAGAAATATACGAGGCAATACTCAATATACAAAAAGCATTCTAATTCCTCTCTTTAAATTTGGCTAGATATAGATATGCTCAATACTTCCACAAATTTTGTATTTTAACATCGGAAGTATCACTACTTTTTGCATCTTATAGTAAAAACCAAATAGACTTACCTTCTTTCTTTTCTTTATGGCCCGTATACAACAGCTGTTGAATATCAAAACCTTTTAACCTTCTTGCAACTGTTTGTCCAATTTGACCAAATCCGATAATGCCAACTGTCGAATTCGTAATATCTTGACCGCACATCCATGCAAAATCGTTTGTTATCCATTTATTGCTGAAATATTAAGTTTGTTTTATTATAATTATTTACAGAGAGAGGCAATTTACTAGAAGAGTCAAAAAACATTAAAAACATACACGTATCTTGAAACAATTATCAATTAAGAAGGGAATTGATAATAAAAAATATTTAGCTGCCATGATCTAGCGTGACTACATCAAAAGTTTTAAAGGTCCTCAGAGCCACTATAGTCTGAAAGATACAAAAAAGACTTATTTGTCAGAAGAGCTTGTAACGAAAATATTTTTGCCTACCACATGGAGTATTATTACAAGGAGTAGAAAATTGGGGACTGAAACTAAGGGGGTGGAGATAAGGCAAGCAAAATAATCGCTACTTGTGCGAATGGCACTCAGGGTTTGTTAGGAGAGCTGTGGTCGTGGATAAGTAAAAGATAAGGGGATTGGATTGCGGCAACTACAAAAAAAATGAAATAAAGAGTCATGAATCTCTTGGGATAAACAAAGCAAAAAGAAACAGGAAACACCTCAAGTAATTTAATATAGGGCGCCACTTTGAGGTGCCTAATTATACCTTAACAGCAGAAACTTAAGCCAAAAAACAAAAATAACCATATACAAAACCCTTATACAACCAGTGTTGACATATGGATCGGTGACATGGAACATTTCCAAGGCAGATGAAAACCTCCTGCTTATATTTGAACGAAGGATCCTGAGAGGAATATTCGGTGGCATCTGTGAAAATTGTGTTTGGAGAAGGAGGTACAACTATGAGATATATCACAGATGTAAATATAAATTTGGTGGTAAAGATGTAGTATCTCTTAAGTAGGAAGACTAAGATGGGCAGGACATCTGGAAAGATCACAGTAGAACAACCCTCCTAGAAGAATCCTTATGTCACAACCTGCGGGAAGTAGAAGTAAGGGTAGGCCAAAACTCATATGGAGGGATGGTGTAGATGAGGATGGTAGAAAAATAGGCGCAGCAAACTGGCAACAGTTAGCAATGGATAGAACTGATTGGCGTAATAGACTTGGGAAGGTCGAGGCTATTTTACAGTGCTGTAGCACCAATAATGATGATAAAAACTACACTTACTTTTCTATGCTTAATCTAGCTTCATGGAGACGCCTTGACGCTGCCAAAGTTAAAAGTATAGCAATATCGGCTACGGCATCGTTAAGCACTTTCGGTGTGTTTCCCATACGGATTCCGCGTTTCCTAAGTTCTGCTACGTCCACATGATTATAACCAGCTGACATAAGCCCAATTGCCTTTAATTGTGGTCCTTGAAATTTAAAACAAAACAATTAATAGAATTTAATATTAAAAAGGAAGTATACAGGGTGCGGCAGATAAACGGCCAATTAGAAATATCTCGAGAAACTAAAGGTAACTGAATCATGAAAATTGGAATGAAGGAGTTTTAAAGGGTGACCTATTTAATGAAAATATTTTTATCTATTTGCTACTTTTGTTTATATATGAAGTTGCTTATATCTTAGTTTTTTTTTAATGGGACACCCTGTATATTTTTTAAATTTTATAAATATTCACATTATTCTGACATTTTTTGTTAATACTTCCATTATACCTATTATGAACCGTTTTTAAGTTATAATGATTTTTATATAAAAATTACACTTTTCTAACATGTATATAAAAGTGCAATATCCTCTAATGTAATTTTAATAAAAGTTTAAATTCCTTATGAACTTATTAACCAGATGCAGCATTATCGTTTACAGTCTAAAGTTGCCTTTTTGACTATGCAGGTTGCTGTCAAAATTGGCGTAAAACCGGCATCCTAAATTTTCGCGTAATTCCTTTTTTCAAATGGGACACCCTGTATGTGATTCATTATTTTAGAAAAATATGTCTTTCACTACCGATCTGTATTAGTATTCCCTATACACATCTCTTGCCGTTTTCAAATAAATTAACTTTATACATTTTTATCACAAAAAAAAAATTCCTAGACTATTTGATGTTAACTTGCAACTGTCATATTGCAAGTTAAACATTGAACAATTAAAAAATGCTATCAAAGAAAATAGGCACTAGCTTATCATTGTAATAAATGTTCAAAATGTTACCCCTCAATATTGATTCTTCATGTATTGCGTTAAAAACTTGAAGGACTTTATTATAGCTTACTCAGTAGTGACAGGTTCAGAAAACACCTTACTTTTGACATATCTCCAAATATAGTAATCTAACAGTGACAATGGTATCTTGGTAACCAAAGAAACCTATCTTTATTAGCTATCTTAGCAACATTTTACAGCATGTAATTGTATCAGCACTGCACGCTTTACATAATAATAAGGCTAACGAGGTTTGGTTTCAACAAGATGGAGCATCGGCTCACAATATTCGAGGAGTCAGCACATTGCTTGATGAAATATTTAGCGATAGACGGAAGAAGAAATAGGCCCGTCACTATTTTATACAAAGAGCAACAATGCTTAGCCTACGCTGATTATGTGGTTCTCATTGCAAGAAATGGAAAAGAACTGGCAAATATAGCAAAAAGACTGATTCGAGAAAGCTCTAAGATAGGAATGAAAGTTAATATTAATAAATCCAAGTAGATGTGAATCTCAAGCAAAAATGGAATAAACAACAGAGGCTTTTTTAAATTGGAAGTAGAGTATGGATCAGTTGTAGAATTCGAGAAGGTGGATGAATATATGTACTTAGGTACTCTTATTGAACAGACATATAAGGAAGAAACTGAAATCAACCTGAGACTGACCAAGAACAACAGATGTGCTGGAGCCATGAGCAAAATAATTAAGGCCAAAAATATATCTCATAATACAAAAATAAGAGTATACAAAACTAGTTAGAGCCACAATGCTATACGCTGCAGAGGCATAGACTAAGAACAAAACCATACACAACACATTGGAAGCATGGGAAAGAAAGATACTTTGCAGAATGTAGTAGAGGGAGAATAGAGAAGACAATTGGAGAAGGCAATTGTTTGCTAACTCTACAGTAACAGAAGTAGTGAAAAAACATAGACTAGAATGGCTCAGACATCTAAAAAGAACGCAAGATAATAGACTAGTCAAGAATATTGTTTGGAAAGTACCTGAGAGCAAAAAAAAGAAAGAAGAAATGTAGTGTTGGAAGATGTCAGAGAGATGGAAATTGAAAGCTAATAGCTAGGACCAGAAAATGATGGAAATTATCCATCCAGCAATGGGCCTAAAAGACCTGTTAACACTATACATACATAGGAATATATTAAATATGAATATATTAAATGAGAATAACATATTTAGGAAATGTGTATATAAGATAAATTAAAATTATTTATTCTTAGTAATAATCCAAAATGAAAAATTCGGATATCTTCTGAAAAAAAAAAGGATAAAAGAAACAAATTGACTTTAAGACGCTTCATAATAAAACAAAGAAAATTTAAAAAAAAAAAAGCGAAAATATTATGTTAGGTGCATAAACTTCCTCAATTCTTAAGTTTTAATAAATATAGTGTTTTATATGTATACAATATAATTTTTGAGTAATTTTCAGAATGTTTTTTCTAGTGAGGAAGTTTGATCAAATTTTTATGGTACTGCACATTTCTTTCAGAGAAATGAAGCATTGAAGAATAGAAATCAAAAACATATAGTAAATAAGCTGATAATATAAACATATCTAATATGAATAGTTTTACCTGCTGCATCTAAAACTTCTGAATCCAGTTTAACGCCAGACGCCCAAAACAAAGCATCCACTCCTCTAGCATTTTTTAAAATATTTTCTCTACTTTCTGTCTGAAGCTGTATGACATTACACCTAAAATATCATTTATTTTTATTAGAGTGTAAATTAATTAGTTTTTAATTTAATATTTACACAATAAGCACTTAGATGTTTAGAAAAAATAGCGTTTTCTCATATTATTATATTAACTCTTTTTAGCACTTTCTTTTTCCTAAAACTGTCTATTGTGACAGTGTCCTACAACTGTAAAATTCTGCTACATTTTTAGTTATAGTACTTAGTTAAAAAGCTACTGAAAGCTCAATTGACCAACAGTACAAGCTCAGAAGATCAAATGTTCTGAAATTTAAATCCATTTGGATTGTTCATATATTGTAAAAATAAAATGAATATAGAGACTACTTGGAAAAAGAACATGTGTGACTTCTGAGGTTTCAAATAATAAATAGAAATGGAACAAGCAGAGAGGCGACGCTTGTCACAGACTCTGTCTCTGTCCCAAATAATATGTGTCCTCCAAGCAAACATTTAGCACTGTATGTCATCTTCTACAGATTTACCTGTTGCTAGTATAAAGTTCAGGTTGAAGTACACCAGAACCAAATTTAAGGTCAATTAAGGTCAGTATTGGCAAAGAGCTTATACATAGCAGATTCAAAGGCATCTGAAAAAATGCAGAGATTGTTGCCAGTCCACTTTCCGAGGGATGTTACAACAGTAAATCAGTATTAATAGATCTTAAACCTTAACTGGAAATGTGTCATCTTTGAGAAGATCTTCAATATACATTTCTTATTATCTCTGATTGTCTGTATTTTACTTGCAGTTTACTGTTTATGGATACTCCTTCAATACATCAAAAGGACCACCTTGTATATAGTTTAGATAAGAGAAATATGCGACCCTCTCTGAGTAAGTGTAAGTGCGGATGAGTGTTTGTGTATTTTATTGTAAAGTTAATGTATAAAAATGTTTAAAAGCTTTACAACTAAGTATGTAATACTTACCCATTGTCGTTTAGTAGAGTTATTCCAGAATCTGGCACTGTAGGATTAGTCACTAACACTTTAAAGTTGTTCATTTTATTTTGTCGAGCTTTTCCCAGAACAGACGAAAAGCTAATAATGAAAAATAGTTGTAAACCTAAAATATATAGAAATAACTTATCTTACACTACAACCGTTATTTTGTATACATACAGATTTAAATTATATTTTAATCATTCATTCGTTAATCAATAATGCGGTTGACATAAAACCACACTTCATGAGGTTTGCATAATGCATCTGTTTCTGTTATCTCTAAATATTTAGCTCTTTAGTATGGAAGAAGGTTTGAAATTAAAATATTGAAACCATACATACAAATATTATTTGTATCACACTTTTGACATAATTAAATTACCATATTTAACTTATTTTGACAACTATAAAAACCCCATTAATCAATAAAAACATATTGACCATAGCTAAATAATATATGATATTGCCCTGCTGATGCCGGTCACTAACCTTTTATTTATATTATTGCGAATTGTTTATTCATTTTTATTAGCATACTGGATTATAATGAAATCGTGGTTGATATTCAATAAAATAATATATTTTGCTAATTCATATTCATTTTTCACTCACTTTATTATAACTAAATTTGCCTTTGTTTTTGTTATGACATTATGATATGATTATGATATTATGACAGTGTATCATCTGGTATCTGTGCAAGGTCACGGTTCCTAGACTTACTCCGGTTGCCTCTTCCGCCTAACCAATGAACATTAAGCTGAACTGTATTCCTGTGACGTAATTTGAATCTTAAAAATCAGCCCTGTGATTGGATGGATGTATCAAAACAAAAATGTTTTATAAATAAAATAAATGATGTGATGTATCATGATCATGTATCACAGATAACGTTTGTAAAAAAAAACATTATGTGGTAACGTTTTACGTTATCTTGCTAACATAATATATTATATTATCTGATAACAGGTTCAATTTAAAGAGATGATTTAATCTCATACTATTTGTAGATGGGAATAACGTGTAGTTAATAAAAATATAAAATGAATTATTTAGTCCAGAATTTTGGCCGGATTCTAAACGATGAGTTATTAGAAGAATTAGATGATGCTATTAGAAGGTTTGTTAAAGATATTTTTAATTATAGTATCAAAGAATATAGACGCTTATAAGCGTCTATATTCTTTGATAGTATATTATTTATTTAGGTTATGTTTTGTAAACAAAATTATTTTATTGATAGGGATGAAGAAAACATTCAGAGAAGACTTTTGCGAGATTTGGTAAATCCAGTGGAATTAGTGGAAGCCGTATTTTAAAAGATATTTAAGTTATCGAGGGAATTGTCTTTGCATTTGGTTCGAAAGTCTCCAGCCCCATCTAAGACAAGTGCAAAGATCAAATGCTTTAGCACATGAAACCAAGATATGTTGTTTATATTAAGAATTGAGTGAATATATTCCAATATGTTATATTTTATTTACTTTTTATTTTATTATATACTATATTTAATTTTTTTTTACCATGGAAAGGTCCACTTTTAGTTAAGTATTGACAGAAGTAACTGATGCGATGGTAGAACATCTGTTGCCAAGATATGTTAAATTTCTTGTCACCCCTGCAAAATGCCAAGCAGTAACAGAAAGGTAAAACATATGTAATTAATGTTGTTCTGAAGCTATTTTCTTGTGGCATTTTATAGTATATTACATAACGAGAGTTGTAAGAAGCTTATTACATGCGAGTAAAAAAGTTGCGCGCGAGCCGCGTAGCGGCGAGCGCAGTAATTTTACAAGCATGTAATAAGCTTACAACTCAAGTTGTGTACTATACTTTTTCTACGATTATTTTCGTTTATAAAAATAAAAATTAAATTACCACTATATTTACACTGACAGATTAATAATTTTTAATCTGTCAAAATAACGTCTGTTAATTCGTTTCCATGGTAACTCGACCAACTGACTTACGAGGCTTATGTGATATTACACATTTTATAAAACTGAAGCGTAATTTTTTTTATTACGTGCTAGTCATTACGTGTCAGTATCTGTTATGGTGCATTTACTTAGCATCCAAATAGTAGTTAATATACAATTTACTAGTAAGAGAGTAGAAAAAATTAATTACTATTTAACTGGGAATAAGCCCCAATTAAAGGTTAAAATATGTTTATTAACATTTCAATTTCCACTTCAGAAATTGTTCTCAAAATACAAACACTAAAAACAAATTTTGTTTTTTTGTTACTTAGTGAAAAATTCTTCTAATAATTTAATTTTATCTGACTCATTTATATTGACAATTCAGACATACATTATGCATTTTAAAGTAGACGACTTTAAAATGATATTGCCAATATTGTTGAGTTGTGCTCTTGGAACGACTTTACTTATAAGATAGTTCATTCCATTACATGAAATCAACATTAACTTGAGAATATCTGTCAGAAAAAAATCATAGCATGTAATTCATCTTTAAAAAGACAAACACATGCCATGATGACAGTAAAATTCTCCTGTTAGTGATTCCATAGTAAATTATGAGGGAAAAACCAGGAAAAAACCCCATAATGCTATCTCGACATGGTAAGTATTTGGTCGTGCATTTAGTTTGCCTTTAAGTCCCACATCACAAAAAGAATAATAAGTGTGAAGAAGATTCAGAGAAGGAAAAAATAAAATTAAGTATTCTTAAAATTAGAAAAGAAAAGGAAGAGTTAAGTAGAGACGTTTTAAAATTAGAAAAACAGAGAAAAGAGAAACAGACACAAAAGAGTTGGCAGTTAAAGAAAAGATTCTACAACTGAAACATCAATATGGGGTTGAGTTCGAGAATTTAGAAATTTAATACCGTTTGGTTAATTTTATATTATTGTAAATTAGTTATTAAAATAAAAATTGGTTATCTTATTATTGTAGAAGTATCATATAAATGACATCATATACTGGTACCCAAACAATATTTAAGAGGAAATAATAATTTACAAACCTTGCTGTGTCCTCTGGAAAAGTTAAGGAATGCTTATTTCATCTAATATTTTTACAACACAAATTCCATTTTGCCGTCTTAAAATCAAACACTTTACTCAAGAATAATAATAAACACAAAAAACTGAACAATGAAACTGAAATATATGTACATACTTTGTTTTTCAAATACCGTAAAATGAAAGGATTATGTATCTACTTGCTGATATGATCTTATTTTCATGACTTCCTTGAAATGACAATGTATCGCTTGAGAATATTATAGATAAATGAAATACTAATAGATCCCGTAACATTTTGCCTATTTTTCACAAAGTTATCTGTTAAAAGTGGGTATAAACACTTTCTTATAAGTATGTATTTATTGTAGAAAAATTCTGTAATAAAAATACATGTTCATTATAGTATCATAAATATCATATTCATTAAGTTACTGGTGTTATATTTAGTTTGTTTCATAGATTTATTACCAGAGTTTAATAAGAAAAAGTTGACACAATTAAGTTAATTTTATTTCTGTGACTATTTGAATTGTCAACACTTTTTTTGTTAAATTAAAAATACATATACAATAATTAAAACACTCATAATTCTTATATTATGTTTTATTGAACCGTAAATAATTTTAAAATAAACATTTTATTTAATTAATAAATGCAGTACGAATGACAGCATTTCTTACAGCAAAATTATCTTGATTTCTAGTGACCTTGTTTAAATTTTTATCTTCTGACTCCGCGTGATTACTGCCATCTTCACTATCAGTCAGCACATCATTCCTCCTTCTACATATATTATGCAATACACAAATTGCCACTATAATTGGAATAGCTCTATTTACACTGACTAGACACTCTTTACATTTTGGAATGAGGTGATATAGTCTTGCAACTGTATGTGCTTCATTATCACTTTATATTCACAAACATAACACACTTTTCTCTCTTCAACAAGTCTTCATGTGTTGTAGAGGTGTGTCCTAATCTGAGACTTCTTATTGGGATTTGATGTTGTCGCTTTGAAGGCCTGAAGTATCATGGAAGGACGGAAGATTTTATTTCTATCAATTTAGTGGTGTTTCTATTCCATTGGTCCCGTAGACAAACAAGGAAACCTTCTCTTTAAGACACCAAACATTCTTTCAATTGTATTCTGTGTGTGGATATGTGTATAATTGTATTTCCTTTCAGCTGGCGTTTGTGGATCATGTAAGGGAGTTAAAATATATTTTCGGCATAGATAACCACTATCACCCAGTAAATATGTTTCACAAAACTCATTGTTTTCAAACTGAGCTCTTATCAGAGAATTATCAAATACATGACTATTGTGGGAGTAACCAGGCCATCTAGCAACTACATTGATTACATTTAAATTTGCATCACAATCCATCTGTATATTTATTGAAAAATACCAGTCACTATCAACACTAGATACAGTTGGAGAATTAACATCTGACACTGATGATACTGAAGACATTTCAAAATATTATTAAATCTAAATATTTTCACACCAGCCGAAAAGACATTGAAACTGTCATATTTACTTGTTAAATAAAATTTACTTGGTAGAAAACTAAGGAATAGTTTAGTTTGCAGATTTACTTCCAGAATTAATTTACTATGTGTTTAAAATACGCAAATCTGCAGAGTAAATTATTTTACTTTCAAACTAAATTTTACTTAGCAAGTAAAATGTTTTATAATACCGCAATACCAGGCATAAAAGTGGTATAAACAAACCAGACAGCTGTTGATTTGAATATAATTATTAATTATTTTTAGTAAATTTCAGCATTATGACTACGTTAAAGTATTTTAAATCCAATCTAGAATAAACTGAAAAACTAATTTATTATGCAATTATTATATAAAAAAATAATTTATTATGCAATTTTTTAAAGACAAATCATGTGCTATATTTTCTGAGAGGTGATCTCAAGTTAAGGTTAATTTCATGTAATCAAATGAACTATTTTACAATAAAGCCAAGTTAAAGTTATTTATTTATGTTAATATACAATAAAGTACTTACATATGTCAAAAAATAGTATAAAATAAAAATTAACATATTAAAAACATAAGATATAATAATGCATATATACGTTAAGGCAAACATTACACAGAATATTATATTCTGGGTTCCCAGGTATACACAAAATAGGATTCATCATCAATACACAAGCCAGTTCCAAACATTAAAGTTAAAATTTAGGAATTCATCACTTGAAAACTGCTTCCCCTTCAACCAATGGACTCTTTGCTTCACCACAATACTCAAAGATATCATTAAGGTTAATTTCCATTATTAAATGATACAAATAACTCGTCTTAAACCAAACTAAACATGGAAATGGAAAAGCAATGGTAAATATTCGAATGTTATGTTTGTTTTTGTTTATACCATTTATATCGGCCATGACACTGCAATCGACCTGCCCTCTACATTCAGTTTCAATCGCCAATAAGAGTTCTGTATTCTTGTGTATTCCTGTGACGTAACTCAAGCATCCCCACCCCAGTCGGAAGAGGCAACCGGAGTAAGTCTAGGAACCGTGGTGCAAGGTAGCCAATTTTTGACTTAGGCTTCTTTCAATGTCAAGCATTTAATGATGTATTCACAGAATAATTACAATAATTCTGCAATAATTTAATCACAATAATTGTTTTATTATTCTGTGTATAGCATTTTTCATATAAAAAAGCTTGTACGTCATTCAATATTTACGTCGTCAGAACCCCACAGCGTTGCCAAAACATAAGAATAGTTAGTAAGTGAAGAATTTTTAAAATGTCAACTATTTGTCAAACTATTATATTAACAGTAAATACACAGTTTTAAGACTACTGCAACACATTAAAATTCATAGGAAAGCATTTTAATACAAAATTATATAATTCTAAATATTAAACTTACCTCTTTTAGGGCTTTAATTGTAAAAACGTCCCACCATTATTGTTCAAAATAATCTATCTTATATCTTTGCTTATATGAAAGCTTATCAGCTTTCTACAGACTATTTATTTGTTTTGGCAAATCACAATACCCAACAATTTTTTTTAATGCTATTAAACATGATATAAGGATACCAGATATGATATTGCCACGCACTAAACTCGTACACTCACGCGCATGACGTCACCTTCTGCTAAATTTTCAAAATGTATTCATGCTTGCGGATAAAACGAACTGTTGAAATTCTAATATAATTTACTAGATGTTTTATTTACTACGTGAATTTAAGCTTAAGTATTTAAATTAATATATTGTAAAAAATAACAATTTTCCCATAAGAGTGAAGTTTGATGGAGGGGGCCATGGCCGAATGCCACAAATTCCAAACTATGGAATGTGATTTTCATACAATATATATATTTTATATATAGTCGTTAGGTATTATTGACTGACACGTTAGGTGAACTATTTCTTTTGAGGTTGCAGTCATTAATAGGGCAGGATAAGTAAAACTCTTTGTTCTTTTATTTAGCTTTCACAAAATTTATTCGCTTCTTCAGGATATGCTAAAATATATATAATTATTTAATCTCCCAAATATATATATATATATATATATATATATATATATATATATATATATATATATATATATATATATATATATATGTATATATATATATATATATATATATAAATATATATATATATATATATATATATAGTTGTGTAACACTCACCAGTGTTTTGTTTGTCTTCATTGGAGAACCATCTCTAAATGAAGCCAAATGTACGTTTAAAATTTTGTTAAATCTTCGTTTCTGCGAATATTATTTTTTGCAAAGTTTTTGTGTCCTTTGTTTCTGTTTTTTTTCTAAGTTAGTTCTAAATAATGAGTAAACCTAAGTACATATATAATAACATCTTTAATACTACATATTGAGTTAGAGCTGATGAAGCTTTAGAAGTATAAAGCGAAACGTCTTCTATAAACTTATAAAGTAGTTGACTTCTGCTTTATATTTTGCCAACCTGAATGACCGATTCATCACTTCAATCACTTTCAACAAAGTGCTTAGAGCAAACACGAGCAAATTTAACATTAAAATTATCCTGGCGGTTACACAAATGTTTCCAAACAGCTTGCATTTCCTTGTCTTTTGGAAAGCTATAAAATGCTGTACCGGGTACAAAACTCTTGCACATATTGTCAACGGCACAACCATACACTGCACACCTCATATCGGGAAAAATTTAAAGCCTTGTAACACTTTTAAAATATTATTTTATTAAATATTGGCTATGAACCGTAAATGTACACAAACGTCAAAACACAATATGGCGAAATTTAGCACAAGTTGACGTCACAAAAGTCATGCATAAGCCACGCCCACATGCGCGGTATCTTATCTGTTTGTATTTGTATCATGGCTATTAAAAAATGTGTGCGTTGAATTGAGTTGATTTAGATTAGATTAGATTAGATTAGATTAGATTAGATTAGATTAGATTTGATTTGATTTGATTTGATTTAATTTGATTTGATTTGATTTGATTTGATTTGATTTGATTTGATTTGATTTGATTTGATTTGATTTGATTTGATTTGATTTGATTAGATTAGATTAGATTAGATTTGGTTTGATTTGATTAGATTTGGTTTGGTTTGATTTGATTTGATTTGATTTGATTTGATTTGATTTGATTTGATTTGATTTGATTTGATTTGATTTGATTTGATTTGATTTGATTTGATTGATTTGATTTGATTTGATTTGATTTGATTTGATTTGATTTGATTTGATTTGATTTGATTTGATTTGATTTGATTTGATTTGATTTGATTTGATTTGATTTGATTTGATTTGATTTGAAGTTTTAATATTTTTCTTGTATTGTGTTAATATTTATTTAGGTTTAAAACCCAAAAAATGTAATTTGTAATTGTTTTCCTTATTTTAATAAATGTGTATTCAAAATGTTTTGTTGAATTAAAATAAAGTTAAGAAATATTTTTGAGCCTAGGCGCGGCATCCGTATCAGCACCGGACGGCAGATTGTGTTAAGGTCGATTCAGACACATCAGTCCCGTCACAGTCCCGACGCCGAACCGGTCCTGTTTGGTTACAGAACTATCAACTATCTGACAGCTGGCAAACTGTTCGTCGCCTGATGAATGTGAATGCCGGTGTCATATTTCTATTAAAGAATATTTTGTATGAAGGATTGTTCGGTTCGGCGCCAGGACTGTGACGAGACGTGACTGATGTGTCTGAACAGACCTTAAAACCGACACTGTCTTTACTATTTTAAATGAAATAACTATCTTACATTGTTTATATATGGTTTATAAGTAAAAAAGACGTTTAGTCTTGTGTATATTTTGTTTATTACATAGTGTTATCACTAAATGTAAAGCAGTTGTTAGACAGGTACCTTGTATTAAAGAGTTTAACAAAAGGGTTTTTATTTGCTAATGTTTCTGGTCTATCCGTGGATTTTATTGTATGGACTACGTAAAATAGTATATAAATACAAACTAATATACTTTACATAGTATCTATTATTTTTATACAACTTTTATACTCTTATCTAACGTGTTGAATCTCAATTTTATTTAAAAAATATACAAAATCATTTTATAATAAGTAAAGTAATTGTTCACTTACCAATTCTAAGGACGTCCATTCTGACTAGTGTCATTTTGCTAATCTTTATACAAACACTCCTCTTATTAGACTGATTTAATAAATAAATATGGAATAAGAGAAAGGTATTTAAATTACATGACCCTAGAAAACAAGTTTTATTGCATACGCCTTCACCCACTTTATTGGTGTTCTCGATAACATTTTAATGTATTAGTTCCATTGATGATTATGATACTTGATTGGCATATATATAGAGCGACCCAGTTTCTTTTTAATGGAATTGTAGATTTATAAAGAAATTTTTTTTTCTTCTTTAAGTACAGTTTATGTAGAATATCGACACGTTTTATGCATTATTGATCAAGTAATAAATTTGTTTATAAATCTTTAAATACTATGACTATACCGGAAACTTCAATATCATTATTAAACTGCTGTCAAAACAAACAAAACCAATAAAAACAAATTAGGGAATACAAGATACAATTGAGTCCATGGTTCTTTAGCAGTGCGTCATTAATACCTGGCGAAATAACTTTCAATGTTCATCGAAAGGTGCAGGTAATAGCTGGAAAATTCCGAAAACGCAACAGCGGAAAAATAACAGATGATGAAGGCTATCTTGCCATAACCAAAGAAGATAAAAGATTAGGACAGTACAAGAGCCCACTATTGAAGAAAATTCTGGTCCCGAAATCCTACCAGCAGAAATAACGGCAGCCGTCAGGTAAATAAAGAATGGAAAGGCACCGGGACTTGATGAAATTCCTGCAGAACTGTTGAAGCTATTAGATCCAGAACAAATAAAAATAATAACTGAAATATTTAATGAAATATACAAAGCAGGAAAAATATCAGTAGAGTTAGTCAAATCGGAGTTCGTATCATTGTTCCGAATCAATTTGATTAAAAAAAATTTAAAATATTTTTGAATCGCTATAAAGAATAATGGAAAAAAGAACAATGATATTAAAATGTTCGGGTGCTATTATCTTGTAGAATTTTAAGAATATTTATTATTTTATTAGAAATTCTCATTCACTTCACTGTCGAATGCTTCAGTGGATGTGGGTTCGTGCCCCAGCTCGGTTCGGCCTATGGTGGAGGAGTACGGCAAGAGATAAGGGCTTGCGGCTCGGTAATACTCCTCCATAGATCCCTAAGGGCGTGTCTCCTAAATGCCGGTATATATATACATATATATATATATATATATATATATATATATATATATATATATATATATATATATATATATATATATATATTAGGAATTAACTACAATTTCAGTTTAAATACGTTATTTTGACATTTCGATTTCCACAACGAAAATCGTTCTAAAACATATCTAAATCGTATTTTCAACTAAAATGATGGATATTTCTCATTAAAAATAATAAATGGTATTATAAAAATTATTTTTTAGAAGTGTAAAAGTAACAATTACTTACAAGCGACGACACCATTTGTTAAATTGTTTGAAATTAACCTTACCCATGTTACAAAATTTTTTTCTGGAACAAAAACACCACTTTGACCGATTATTAAACATGTTTAATGATACACAGTTAAATGAGATATGCATTATATTAAAGGTAACTCATTAGAAGTTATGGTATTTATAATAGATAGATAATGACAATTGTACACGGTAAGTACTAAGAATAGAATACGTATTAGAAAATGTTTTTAATAAACTTTTAATAATTTTTTTTATTCTGAAGCTATTTTCTTGTGCTATTTTAATACAGTTCATCATTTTTATCGGGAATTAACTACTAACAATATTTTAATTTAAAATATGTGCACCAAAAGCGTCCACCAAAGCTCTGACATCATGTGAGCGTGCAGACCATGTCCACATGTCATATTTACGCAGTCATCCTTTACGCAGCCATATTTTATTTAAATAAATATATTGTGATGTAACGAATATTCGCAGTCGCATTCGCATTCGCGAATATTCGCATATTTTTGCATATTCGCATTTGCATTCGCATTCGCAAAATTTGTGCGAATGTTTTGCGAATATTACACAGCTTGCATTTAGCTCGTTCAGTATCGAAAAGTGGTGAAAAATAAGTCCATATTTCACTATAATTTGATTTACTCATAGTAATAAATCGCTAGTCACACTTTAACTAAAAATTCACTTGTATTTGTGCACGAGCAGAGCAGGGCAAGTGGAGTGACTTGTGTCCCGTGAAATTTTTATTGGAACTATAACCAGAGAACTTAGTTCTCTGGTATAACTTTTTCTCTATAACAAGTCAAATTTGATTATAACAAGAGAAAATAAGATCAAAAAACGTGCTTTCTACGTTTTTGGCCCGGACGTGACTATAAATAGATACCTTTTTAAACGACCCCTCAATAAACTTAACCGCCTACAATAAACTTCTTTACAATAAATACAACTGTTTCACATCTTTACTTTAGCAAATATGATAGAATGATACTGGACAATTTAAAGCAGTTAAAAAAGACAGACTTTTTCCAATTGCCTACACACCTCGCGCAAATGAGACTGCCGGCAGTGCCGGAGACAATTAAAATTGCCAAATTTAAAAAGAAACTGAATATTCGCATTCGCATTCGCGAATGTCGGTGGCATATATTCGCATTCGCATTCGCATTCGCGAATGTTTAAAAAATGACATTTGTTACATCACTAAAATATATTTGTGCAGTCTTGGTATTTTAATCTAGCATTGGAGTGTTTATATAGACTTACTATATTCAGTTTGTTGTTACCAAGAACGAAATTAATTCCATAAACTTAAATTTTTTGATTAAAATTATGATTAAATTGAATGATTTCGTATATAATTTTATGTGAAATGAAAATTGGTACTCCCTCATTACCTTTTATCTCTATTAACCGCAATGACGTTAAAGTTGTTAAACTTAATGTTATCAGTAGGTTTACACCGTGTTGCAAAAATGATTGCAATATCAAACTTGTCCTCCAATGAAATTTGATAAAAAGAATTTTTGTTATCTATAAGAGATCTATCGTTCCACTGAACAATCTTAATATTTTGTTTAAAAGACAAAACAAAACATTACTTTGCATGTTCTTCAAATCATTAATACATCTTGTACCGGCAATTAAGTAATGTTTTGTTTATTTACTAATTTAGTACAGTTAAATAGACTATTTCATACCAATTTGTGGGTATTCCTTTGTCTGCTTAAGCAGTTGATTCATATTAAAAACACAGACATGTAATATTGGCATAATTACTATAATTTTATATTATTTTATCTTATGTTCATCTTTATATAAGACAGCACTCTAACATGGGCTTTTATAATTTCAGCATTTAATTAAGTTTGTACCGACTAACCTGAAGATGCTTTGCAAATTGTAGAAAGCGAAATCGGTCGTCTTGGTAATTAAATTAAACTGATCGTGAGTAAGTCTTATTTATTTCTTCTTTTTTACCTATTTAAAAATAATAATTTTTAATAATAATTTTTTGAAGAATATTTTGTTTACTTTACAATTCACAAGAGAAATATAATTCATCCGTTATACGTTATTGGTCTCAGTAAAATAAGCATCTAAGTAAGTTTGCACGTACGCAGTATCTACAAAAGTTGCATGTTTGGATTGGAATTTTGCCAGGCAGTAAAATATCTTCAATAACTGCGAAATTCAATTATTCCTGCACTTTAACATCTTCAAATCATCTTAAACACAACTTCACATAATGTACAGAATATAATTGTAATAAATAATGTAGTTAAAGGCCGCCTCAGTCACCTGACTTAACTCCCCAAGATTTTTGTGGGTTACTAAAGGTACACAAATTTGTTCAGGCATGAATTTGAGCAGCTAAGACAAGAGATAATCTAACTTATGCAAAACATATCAGCAAATAAAATCAACGCCATGAGAAAGGCGTTATATAATAGATTGGGTTTGTGTTTCTCACAAAGATTTTTATTTGTTTTAGAATTTCTAATTGTTTGGAATTATTTTTAATTTATGTAGTAGTTTTGGAGTTAATTTTATTTCGTTTTTATGGAACTAATTTTAATTTCACATCTACTATTTCCAACAAAATCCAAACAAAAATATGGTTTTAAAGATATTATTTAGAAAATATCAAATAATATCTAATCTTTAATTAAACATTAAATTTTTGCCCATTTCAATCTTCACTAACTATTATCTCCCGTAAATTATAAGTTTATACTGGTTTTAAAATTCTCATTTTTACTAGTACAGCTTTGGGAACGAGTTTTTTTCGTGGCCTGCCTAGCCAACGACGGTCCGACTGGTGAGATTATGCGACGATGCTTGTGCCTTTTTCTTGTGACAGTCTAATAAAATTTACTATTTTTATTGGGAATAAACCACAACTTGACTTTAAAATGCATTTCCGATGACAGGTCAAATAAAAACAATATGTTTGGCAACAATGTTGAACCTCTCCTTAAATTTGTTTCACTATTTAATTTTTGAAAAGGAATTTCGGGATATATTAAGTATAAATAAATAACATTTTTAGAGCATGAAAAAACTGTTTATTATTATTGATTACATTTGGACATTTAATTCTGTCAACAGGCGGACAGCGGTATTTACTGACATTTGTTTCATGGTATCTCTTGTTTTGAATGCTACGTGTGGCGTTAAAACTGAAACAAATAATTTAAATTAAATAATATATAAATGTGTAGGTGCCAGTGTTTTTCAGAAATAATACGTGAAAAAAATTTGATTTGTTGGTTGTAGTTTTCGATGTTTTTCTCGTAAAACTTCATTATATTCTTTCTATAATTTCAACATAAAATCTTTGTTGAATAGAATATTTGTAAATATTATATTCAGTGTGGAAATTCTTTTGCATACATACGTGTTGCTTCGGTAGAGGTGTACAATTTTTTTATACAGTAAATTATCATCTTAAATACCACACAAAACTTAGTAAATAGTGTAGATACGTCATTAAACAATAACAATATCTGTATATTATGTTGGTAAACCGGACAGTATCTATAAACTTACTGATGAAAGAGATAAAGATAATCTTTGACAAAAGAAATTTAGAGAAGATAAAACTTCAGAACAGATATAAAGAGGATTTTCCAAAATAAAAAAATACAGTTTAGGTCATCATTGAAATCGAGATCAAATACTAAAGTCATCACTGAATATGGAGCTTTACGCTTATACGCAAAGCAGATTATAAAAATATTAAGCAAAATAAAATACGAAAATACCATAAAAAATGTGAGCAATCAATATGAAAGACTAAAGACAAGTTATTGATAGTATAAGGTGCTAGTAGTCAACCAATCCCATCGAATCTTTAGTACCCTATCAGTCGAACAACTGGTGTTAAACACTGGGGTCCACCAGTGGTGTTCAGTTAAAGTAAAGCATTGTTTTAAAATAAACAATTACAGATGAGCAAGTTTTAGTGTCTGGCTGCTTTTAGTACCTCAGTAGTAGCCTATATGTGTCCCAACTTCGCCACCAGGCGGGCCACAGGACACGGTTTTATTTTTAACAGAGTAAAGGTCGATTCAGACACATCAGTCACGTCTCGTCACAGTCCTGGCGCCGAACCGAACAATCCGTCATACAAAATAGTCTTTAATAGAAATATGGCGCCGGTATTCGCATTCATCAGGCGACGAACAGTTTGCCAGCTGTCAGATAGTTGATAGTTCTGTGACCAAACAGGACCGGTTCGGCGTCGTGACTGTGACGGGACTGATGTGTCTGAATCGACCTTAAGCGTTCATACGAGGCACTTTTTTAATAATTTGTTAAATGTTAGTATAGAAGGTTATGTGGATTTCAATAAGAAAGATTTTATAACTGCTGTTGAAGAGAAACCAATCAATATCAGGCACATATCAATAATAAGCTACTACTATATGAAACCTCCGAGAACAATCTTAACGCATAATAAATAATTACATTATAAACGCTTTACAAGAAAGTCACCGAGCGTACTGCCCTGAAAGAAAATCAGATAGTAAAATAAATCCATATACTGAAACGCTGCTAGATCAAAGAAGACAAATGAGAAGCGATGAGAATGCAGACAGCCACAGTCTAAGAGAAATGAATAAAACTGTTTCGAAAGCAATCAGAAGAGATTTAAGAAAAGGTTCCGAACTTATGCTAGAGATAAAGGTAGATGAGATTCAAAAAGCGTTAAGAAAAATGAAAAATAACAAAGCCCCAGGAAAGAATGGAATTGTAATAGAAGCTATCGTAAATGGAGAAGATAAACAAATTAAAAAAACTGTTTAATCTATGTTTGCAACAAAGAGAGGTGCCCAAAGAATGGAACAATGCTATAACCATCCTTTTGCATAAAAAAGGAGATAAAACGGACCTATAAAATTATAGACCGATTAGCCTGTTGAACCACATATCCAAGCTCTTTACTAGGTTAGTGACATCAAGATTGAATACTTATTATAACTGGGAATAAGCCACATTAAAGATAAAAATACATTTATTGACGTTTCAATTTCCAATTCGGAAATCGTTCTCAAAATACAAATAGTAAATTAAACAAATTTTGTTTTTTGTTACATAGTGAAAAAATTCTTCTGATAATTTAATTTTATCTGACTCATTTATATTGACAATTCAGACATACATTATGCATTTTAAAGTAGACGACTTTAAAATGATATTGCCAATATTGTTGAGTTGCGCTCCTGGGACGACTTTACTTATAAGATAGTTCATTCGATTACATGAAATCAACTTTAACTTGAGAATATCCGTCAGAAAAAATCATAGCATGTAATTCGTCTTTAAAAAGACAAACACATGACATGATGACAGTAAAATTCTCCTGTTAGTGATTCCATAGTAAATTATGAGGGAAAAACCAGGAAAAAAACCTCATAATACTATCCCGACATTGTAAGTATTTGTTCGTCAATTTAGTTTACCTTCAACAAACATCAAAATTCTGATTTTATGTTACGTTATTTAAAAAAAAAAAACATAAATGATGTATCCTCTATATGTTACTGACTTACTAATACTGGTATTTTCTTATTAATAACTTCCTCTTTCAATATTGGTAACCAGATCCTACTACATTCTGCCGAGGAATTTGCTACACAATTGGCCTCATTTAGCATAATTAGAGCCGCTTCTTTGATTTTTCTTTTTTTACCATCCGTTTCTTTTAGGACTATATTTGAATTATTCCATTGAACTCTATGTTCATTATCCCATGCGTGTTTACATATTTGAGATCTATCAAATTCTCTATTTTTAATATAAGATTGATGTTCACTTATTCTAACATTTAATGGCCTTGATGGTAAAAGAAACGGATGGTAAAAAAAGAAAAATCAAAGAAGCGGCTCTAATTATGCTAAATGAGGCCAATTGTGTAGCAAATTCCTCGGCAGAATGTAGTAGGATCTGGTTACCAATATTGAAAGAGGAAGTTATTAATAAGAAAATACCAGTATTAGTAAGTCAGTAACATATAGAGGATACATCATTTATGTTTTTTTTTTTTTTTTTTTTTTTTTTTTTTTTTTTTTTTAAATAACGTAACATAAAATCAGAATTTGGATGTTTGTTGAAGGTAAACTAAATTCACGAACAAATACTTACAATGTCGGGATAGTATTATGAGGTTTTTTTCCTGGTTTTTCCCTCATAATTTACTATGGAATCACTAACAGGAGAATTTTACTGTCATCATGTCATGTGTTTGTCTTTTTAAAGACGAATTACATGCTATGATTTTTTCTGACGGATATTCTCAAGTTAAAGTTTATTTCATGTAATCGAATGAACTATCTTATAAGTAAAGTCGTCCCAGGAGCGCAACTCAACAATATTGGCAATATCATTTTAAAGTCGTCTACTTTAAAATGCATAATGTATGTCTGAATTGTCAATATAAATGAGTCAGATAAAATTAAATTATCAGAAGAATTTTTTCACTATGTAACAAAAAACAAAATTTGTTTAATTTACTATTTGTATTTTGAGAACGATTTCCGAATTGGAAATTGAAACGTCAATAAATGTATTTTTATCTTTAATGTGGCTTATTCCCAGTTATAATAAGTAATTAATTTACAATGCCACAAGAAAATAGCTTCAGAACAATATTATCAAGATTGAAGAAAAAATTAGATTTCTACCAACCGAGAAAGCAGGTAGGATTCCGATCAAATTATGGTACCAATGATCACCTCCATACAGTAAGAATACTCATTGAAAAATCTATAGAATACCACAAACCTCTTGTCCTCACTTTCATAAAGCGTTTAGGTATACTAAAAAATGCCACTATGTTTGTTAAGATATACGATAAAACCCGACCAACAAAAATCAAACGGGGGATAAGGCAAGGAGATAGATTGTCACCGAAATTATTCATAACGGCATTAGAGTATGCTTTTAAGATGGTCAATTGGGACCACAGAGGAATAACAATAGACGACGAAAAGATTAACTATCTCCGTTTCGCAGATGACATGGTTCTTACCACAGATAATTTAGGAGAAGCCACATCTATGTTAAATGAATTGGACTTTGTATGTTCGAAGGTGTGCCTCAGAATGAACTTGATCAAAACTAAGTTTATGACAAATATGGTCCCCAATAACCATTTAACTATTCAAGACAAAGTGGTAAAACTGGTGGAGAAATATACGCATTTGGGTCATAAAATAAGAATCAGCAGGGATAACCAAACATGCAAAATCCAAAGACAAATTACTTTAGCGTGGGTAGCTTGGTAAAAACTGCGAGACACACTTAGGGCCAACATACCAATTAGTCTCATAAGATAAGTATTTGACCAATGCGTATTACCGGTCATGACCTATGGGGCGAAAACTATGACTCTAACCAAGACTACGACTTCGAAATTGAGAGTGGCACAGAGACGAATGGAACAGTCTATACTGGGAGTGACGTTGCGGAACTAAAATGGAATTGGGCAGGCCATGTAGCGAGAATACATGACTCGTAATAGAAGAAGACCACCTACACGTTGGGCTGACGACATCAGACATATCACCAAAAATTGGCAATAAATAGCACAAAATCGTAAAGAATAGACGAGTTTAAGGAAGGCATATGTCCAGCAGTAGACCTGATAAATGAAGGCTGGATGATAATGATGATGATGATGATGATGAAGATAATATTGAAAAGAAACCAGTTCTTTGGGACTATAAATTAGATTAATATAACGATAAAATTGCTAAACAAATGCATGGGAAAGGATAATATTAAAATTTGAACTGATGCGGTTATAATCAGTGTCATCAACCAGTATTTCATTTAGGCAGCGTTTAGGTTTAGCACGGGTGATGGACACCAGTCGCTTTGTCTGAAAGGGTACTCAAACTGCTAATAACATTTGCTATATTATTAAATATTTGATACTTCTAAACTCCTTTTAAAGACTGAAGATAAGCATAAGATATCCAGACATCGGTATACATAAAGTCACTCAGTGTAAATCAAAACAGCTACTTTGAAAATTATGCTCTACAGTCTAGAGAAAACGTAAAAAAAACAAGAGTACAAATTTCTCATCTATTATTTGTTAAACCAACGTTGTTCTAAAGAAATCAATAAAGACTGGGATGGGAATATTTTTGCCATGTCTAAACAAAGACTGCAAACTCAACTCATTATAGGCGAAACACCGAATGCGTCCCTCGGCAAGTTTCCGTTATCGTTGGTTAATAAAAAAAAATAATCACATACCAACATTGGGCAACTTCAAAAGTTCGTGGTCGACAGGTAATGGTTCCGGTGTCATAACATCTAATCCTGCAGCAAATATGTCACCACTTTTAAGTGCTTGTATTAAGGCTGGCTGATCAACTAGGCCTGATCTGCACACGTTTACAAACACGGCTTTCCTCTTCATTTTAGAAAAAAACTCAGCGTTACACATACCATTAGTCTCATTATTTAATGGACATCCCATGATTACAAAATCGCTTTCTTCTAATAGAGTATTTAAAGAAACGAATTCGACAGAAAGTTCTTTTCCTGAAATAAAATAATGACACAAATTAAATAAAACTTATCATACATTTCAGATGCGTCTAATCATTAAATAGCAATATTTGTTTACAAAAACCATTCATAAAAAATGTTAAAATATTTCATTTACTTGTAAAAACCTAGCCATGAAAATAGGTTGATAATCTAATAAATATTTTTATCTAAAAAATTTTAAAATGTTTTTTATGCATCAATTGTGATAAACACAATATAATATTTAATTATACATACATAATACGTTAAAGTACATACATAGTACGTGCATTAATTTTTCCCATATTTAGTTACGGATCCGAAACATGGACAATCAAATCGGACGACAGAAAAAGGATTGACGCTTTTGAAATGTGGTGCTGGAGAAGAATGCTTCGGATCTCATGGACGGAACACAGAACAAATCACTCAATCCTCCAAGAGCTTAATATTCAGACTCGACTTTCGTCTATTTGCCTCTCCACCGTCTTAAAATTTTTCGGCCATATTGCAAGAAGAAGTGATGATAATCTTGAGAGACTTATAATTTCGGGAAACGTTGAAGGGCGCAGAAGTAGAGGTCGCTCACCTATTCGATGGACGGATCAGGTAAAGAAAGCCAGTGGAAAAACATTTTCAGAATCCATGAGGGAAGCTCAGGACAGAAGCCGATGGAAAGAGATAGTGGCTCGTATTATAGGGAATCACGACACTCAGCAATGAGGAAACGACTGAGGAGGAGGAATACGTTAAAAAATGTATCTTTTCCGATTCAGTATTATTATGTTGTCATAAAAATATCGCACAAATAACTCAATTATAGCAGAACTTAACTTAAAATATAAAAACTAGACTCATCGCAACTATTAACCAAAATATACTGAGCTATTTTGGACATATAACTAGAAGAAGAGAAGGGATGGAGCGAATGTTATTTGAAGGTAGCGTAGCGGGTAAAAGATCCAGAGCAAGATCCCCAGTACGATGGTCGGACCAATGCACATGATTGGTTACTCATTCTCCAAAGCAAAACAACACGTACAGGAGAAAAATAATTGAACAGAAATGGTCAAACAAATTACATGACGCCACTACATTCTAACAAAGGAGAAAAGATAGAGGAGGATAAACATAAGTATGGAGGATAATAGTATGTCGAAATGATAGGTTCTAAATCACCAGACCAAATGAATAATTTTATTTACGATTTATACATAAATAACTCACCTTCTTTCTTTTCTTTAGGGCCTGTGTATAAAAATCTTTTAACATCAAAATGTATTAGCCTCTTTACTATTGCTTGTCCGATATTACCCAATCCAATAATTCCCACAGTTGATTTCTGTAAACCGTACCCCAGCATCCATTGTCTATCTGCTCGTACCCATGTATTTCTAAAATATTTCAAAATGATCAGTTGTAGAATAAATAAACTTACCTAATATGAATAAAATAATATTTTTCTATTAGTTTTCAAAAAAAGTCTTTAATTTCAATTGGGTCTGCATCACTTTCTTGTAGAATATTCTTCTTCTTCTTCCTTCTAGTATGTAGGCTTTAATGCCTGTTTCTTTTTCAATATTAGCCTCCTAAATTGTTTAAATTGTCGCACCATCTTTTTCTTGGTCTGCCAATACTTCTTCGTCTATTTGGTGACTTATCTCGTGCTATGCGTACTATTCTATCCTCTGCTATTCTACTGATATGTTCGTTCCACTCCTGTTTTCGTTTTGTCTCCCATCCATTTATGTCTTCTATATTGCATGCTCTTCTTATTTTTTCGCTTCTCTCTCTATCCAACAGAGTTCTCCCTGATATTCGGCGGAGTATTTTCATCTCTGTTGTTTCTAGCAGTCGTCTCGTTTTAGATGTGTTAGGTCTTGTCTCTGCCGTGAATGTTAATATAGATCTGATTGTTGCTTTATAGATTTTTGTTTTTGTGTCTTGTCTTAGGTGTTTGTTCTTCCAGGTTGTGTCATTAAGAGAACCCGCCACTTTACTCGCTTTTAAGCTTTGTTATCGTACTTCCTCTTCAACATCTCCGTAACTAGTTATATCTATTCCCATATATCTAAACCGTGCTTCCTGTTTTATTATTTTCCCATCAATTTCGATTTTACACCGTAGTGGGTATTTAGATGTCATACATTTGGTTTTTTCTGCTAATATTATCATATTGTATTTCTTAGCTGTTATATTGCAGATATGTGTTAATCTTTGGAGCTCGTCTTCTGTCTCGGCGATTAAATTGTAGAATATTGATAGATTAAATTACTACTCTATATAGATATAGGTATGAACAAAGACGTGTACATATGCGTGTACATTATAGACTACACAAAAGCATTCGATAACGTAAAGCACGAAAAGATAATTGAAGTTCTCCATAAGATCGAAGTCGACTACAGAGACATTCGAACAATAGCGAGTCTCTATTGGGGTCAAACAGCTAAAGTGAAAGTAGGATCTACATTGACCAATAAAATTGAGATCAAGAAAGGGGTAGACAGGGCTGTATCTTGTCTCCAATTCTCTATAATAAATACTCAGAAGAACTATTTAAGACAGCGCTGGAGGAAAGCACAGAAGGCATAAAGATAAATGAAGAAATAATTATTAACATAAGGTATGCTGATGACACTGTGATTCTAGCAAGTAGAATGGAGGAACTGAGTTGCCTAATGAGTAAGACACAAAAAACAAGTGCACAATACGGACTCAGACTAAATATCACAAAAACCAAATGGATGTTAGTAAGCAAAACCCAACAACCACCACAGCAATTGATATTAGACAATGAAAGAATTGAACACGTGGATTCGTACATCTACTTGGGAACAACAGTCAACTCAAATTGGGATCAAGCGAAGGAAATACGTATAAGAGTAGAAAAGGCAAGAGCATCGTTCACTAGTATGAAGCAAATTTTCACCTCTAAAAGCCTCACCCTACCTCTCAAAATTCGACTTCTGAAATGTTATGTATTCCCGGTTTTATTTATTATTTATTTATTATTTATTTCGTATATATATATATATATATATATATATATATATGGGAACGTAAAAAAAAAAAATAAAGTAATACGTACTGTTCTATGCCTAATCGACCTTCATGGTATCTCCTTGAAGCAGCCAAGAGCAACATTACGGCAAAATTGGCGACTGTAATAGCGTTCTCATTGTGTAAATGAGTCAGTTTAATGTTTCTTTTCTTTATTTCATCGGTATCACATGAATCAATACCACGAGACAGAAGACTTATTACTTTTAACTGTGATCCTAAAAGCAGACGTTATGGATAATTAAAATAAAATAAATCTTTAAATAGTTGCATATAATTCAGTGATGCAACTTGAAATTTACACCTTTGACCACCAGTATGAAAGTGGCATTCTACATATTTCTCTTTTTATTCTGTTGTAAATATATATATATATATATATATATATATATATATATATATATATATATATATACAGTGCTAGTCAAAAGTCCGTTCCCCCCTCGTATCTTTTGAACGGGTATTGTTATAATAATGAAATTTGGAGGGAGGTAATAAACAGACGTAGGCTTCTCAACTAGTCATAACAGGTGACGTAATAGTGACAGATGACGTTACAGCGCCACTGTGACAGATAATTTTAAACGGGACCTTATGGCAAATGATACCTCGTTTGAAAGGTATTGAAAATACCTATTCAGTCATAATAATTTTGTTTAAGTTTAAGCTCATTTTGATAAATAAATTAAATAAATACTAAAATTGTAGCTTTTTCATTTAATTGATAAATATTTAACAACCAGTTCTTATAGTAAGTGTTCAAAATGTGCTCCATCTACTTCCTGACAGTAATGCATCCTATTTCTAAACTCTTGCCGTATTCGTTCAAATGTGTCGGGGGAAATTGTCCTACATTATTTAACAATTCATTGTTTCAAAATATCAATATTGTCGGTTACTGTAGCATAAACTTTAGATTTCAAGTATCCCACCAGAAAAAAGTCTAATGGTGTGAGGTCCGGTGACCGAGCTGGCCATTATATCGTACCTCGTCGTCCAATCCATCTACCACGATATTCCTCATCTAGGTAACGTCTTACTGCACCATAATAGTGTGCAGGAGCACCATCTTGTTGAAACGTTATTTCCAAGTTGCCGAATTCATCTGGATTATCCTCCAGAATTTCAAGTATCAATGGTTCAATTGCATTTTGTAACATCTCCAGATACACTTCACCGGTTAAGTTAGTATTGAGAAAAACAGGCCCAACTATGTGGTTTCCCAAAATACCTGCCCAAACATTTATTTTTTTTTGGAAATTGGAGTATGTGTTTCAGGAAAGACGTGAGGATTTGTGTCACTCCAATACCTCACATTGTGTGTGTTAACATTTCCATTGAGAGAAAAAGTACTTACGTCACTAAAACAAATTATTCTTATGTAATTGGGCTGTTGGTTAATTTTATTAGACATATTTTCACAGAATTCTACTCTTCAGTCGGGGTCATCATCTAAAAGGTGGTGCACAATTTTTAATTTATATGCCTGACATTTGTTTTCAGCCAACACTCGGTGTACTGTCTTTTGACTGATTCCATAAATAGATGCAACTTGGGCTGTAGAAGAAGTAGGGTTCACTACCATTTCTGATTTTTTTGTCATCACTAATTGTTGGTCGACCAGATCGTTTGACATCTTGAACACTTCCTGTTTGTTTAAACTTCCGAAGAAGTTTTCTCAAATAAGATCTCGATATAAGGCGATCCGGTTACCTCTCATTAAAAAGACGTTCCGCTGCATGGAAATTATTTCCACATTCACCAATTAGTAACACAGCTGCTACTTTATCGGGTCCAGTACGTACCATTCTGCCTTTGTAAAGAATAATTAACTAAATTAAATTAACTAACTCAACTAAATATTAACTAAGAACAACCAACTTAAAACAACTTGACTAAACTTGAATTGACTAAACTAAGTAGAAACAGAAACTAAATATTGGGCTATAAACGCTTTTGCAAACTAAAAACAACTAGATTGACAAATAACCAAAGGCTGAATTAGAATTTTAGTATTTATTTAATTTATTTGTCATAAGCATCTTAAATCCAAACAAAATTAGTATTATTGAATAGGTATATTAAAATAATTGTAGTTTCGCATTTAATCGATTAATATTCTAACGTTCGCCTCTGGTTAATTGTCAAAAAAGTTGACGTTGACGTAAAAACAATTAGAGAATTAAAAAACGTCAACTTTTTGACAAGTAACCAGAGGCGGAGGTTTTAATATTTATTAATTAAATGCGAAACTACAATTTTAGTATTTATTTAATTTATTTATCAAAATGAGCTTAAACTCAAATAAAATTATTATGACTGAATAGGTATTTTCAATACCTTTCAAACGAGGTATCATTTGCCATAAGGTCCCGTTTAAAATTATCTGTCACAGTGGCGCTGTAACGTCTTCTGTCACTATTACGTCACCTGTTATGACTAGTTGCGAAGCCTACGTCTGTTTAATACCTTCCTCCGAATTTCACTATTACCGTTCAAAAGATACGAAGGGGGGAACGGACTTTTGACTAGCACTGTATATATATCTCGTTCATAGCGTAATCCGCCTTTGGGTTCCCGTTCGCCAAGCCTGTCTATTCTGTCAATCTTCTTCAGATAGAAATGCCTTTGAAATTCCTTGCATCCATGTGCATCCATGTTGTTGTGGTCGTCCTCGTTTTCTTTTCTCTGGTGGTACCCGTTCTAATATTTTTTTAAATTTAATTCTCTTAAAGAAAATTTTGAAAAATGTTGCAAAAACGTTTTGTTTAGTTCACTTGAAATTTGGGTTTTGTTTTATGCCAAGAATGTCTTAAATATTGGTCATACTACATGGGCTATAAATATATTAAAACATAATAAAGTCACTACAAAATAAGACTGCAATAATTTTTAACTACAAAGACCAACAAAAATATACATTCAATAACACCCGTGGAGAAAGATCCATTATGTTATAACCAACAAAGATTTATATCCATCAAAAATAATCGACATAAGATGGGTCAAGTCAGTAGATGTAGGTAGCGACTATAACCTAGAAATCAGAGTCGAAAGATGCTGCCTAAATACGAAATCCACGGAATAATTATACAGAAAAAGAATATCAGAAAAGATTGCTGGGAATGAAATATTAGAAAACGATAACATCAAGAAAGCTGGTAAAAACTCAAAATTAACATAATTAATGCAGCAACAGAATTACCTAGACAGAGGAAAGTAACGAATGGACCCACAAAGACAAAATGCATGGTTATAACAGCAACTTTTCTAAGACGTAATTTGGAGCTCGGAGGTCGGATAATAAACCAAGTAATGAAGTTTAAATATCTAGGCATCACATTATCTAGCTACGGAAATCTCGAAGCAGAAATGGAAGATCAAGTGAACAGAGCAATTACAGTCGCAGGTTGCCTGAATAAAACAATATGGAGAAATTGAAGGCATCACATTATGGGATAGAGCTAGAAGTACAAATATACTACGTAGATACAACGTAGAGAACATCAAGAACTGGGTAAGAAATAGAACAGTTGGATGCAACGATCATATAAGCCGAATGACAACAAATAGAGTAGCAAAGACAGCGAGAGACAGTTTCCCAATAGGAAGACAATTAATGGGCAGCCCACAAAAACGATGCGTGAATTCTTTGCATAATAAAATGAAATATAAATTAAGAGTAATATTACCTGCTGCGTCCAAAACTTCTTTATCTATTACTGCAGGTTTCTTAACAAAAATTGCATCTACTCCTTTGACTTTTGACAAAATGGCATCTCTAGTTGGAATTTCGTTTACAACGACATCACAGCTAAAAATTAAAAAAAAAGCATGAGATCTTCAAATGAGCGCCTTAAAATTTACGAACAGAAAGATATACATACATCGTATATCAACTTTCATTCACTTTTATATTTTGCGTTTAGAAACGCAAAGATTTCTATAACATCGGTTAAAAAAATATGCTTAAACACAAAAACAGCCAAAGCATCTAAACTTCAACCTAATAAATTAAAATAATCCAAGAAAGACGAAACAGAACAGATCGAACTTCGGACAGCTTCAAAAGTTTAAACAAAAACACGAAGAAAGCAATTAGGAACGAGCATAGAAACTATACTAACAATCTAATAATAGATATAATACAAAATAACTGCAATATGAAAGTACTGAAAGCAAAAAACTCAAGCGGCATAACAAAAATCATAGAAATAAAAAATGAGAAAAACGTCACCGTCCGAGACAGAAAGGAAATAAGAGAGACCATTAAAAAATTCTACACTAAATTATACTCGGTAAATACACAACCAAAACAACGATGTACTGAACGAACAATAATTTACACCGGCTCAGAAGAAATACCGGTCATAAACGACTATGGAAAAAGAATGGCCCTAAATCAACTAAAAACGAATAAATGTCCTGAAGAAGATAAAATTACAGTTGAAATGTTGAAAATTAGTGGCAGAACAACACAAAGAGCAATGAGACGAAACATGCTTGGAATATCACTGATAGACAAGATTAGAAACACCGAGATAAGATGTAGAACGAAGATTAGGGATATTGTGGAAGAAATTACAAAAATAAAATGGCGCTGGACAGGTCACGCAGCCCGATATAATGACAACAGGTGGACACGGAGAATTCTAGAATGCAGACTAAGGACGACAACACGAAAAATGGGAAGACCTCAAAAAATATGAGTAGATGACATAAGAGCAGTGGCAGGCAAACAGTGGATTAGATTAGCGCTAGGTGGAGACAGGAAAATGGTTGACAAAGAGAGAATGCCTATCTTTCCTCTCTAAAAGTCTGCCTTCATTCACACCACGACAAGGGTATTTTTTGAGAACACAACAGGTGGAGCTAAAGCCCAAAACAAACTAAGACAAAAAAGCAGAAACATAAAAAAAATTGTACATAAATTTATTTCTGAAACTCTCTAGCATATTTAAAATTTTACTTACTATTTCCTTAATAAGTCTATGGCTTCTTGACTAACTCCAGTATTTGTTATTAATACTTTCGGTCGTTGTTTTTGATTATCCATACTAAACTGAAACAACGAAGAAAAAATAAATTACAAGTTAATTTACAAAAAATTTAGAATATACTTTATGTGATATGTTTCTAACTTGTTGATCGTCTAATTGCAGTTTTAGAGTTAGAGGAAAGATTATGTCCAAGTTTAAATAATAATTTTTATCTATAAAAAAGAGCATACACTAATTACAAAGAATTACAGAAGCAATATCAATATGGCATAGAAGCTCTAGAAGCCATAATGAGCCTCAATCTTTAGCAATGCGTAATGAACAGCTAGGTACTATTTCAATAGCACCCTAGGTACTAGGGTGTTAAGATTACCACAGACACAAAAAATTAAACCGGGTAACATATTGATATCGCAACAATTCTGAAAAAACTTCCATTGGATGCCTTAAGCCAATCAACCAGTAGCATGATAATTAAGTTCGAGTTTCCTATACCGTTTAAAGTACTATTTGATATTTTTAATGGAAAATAACCACTATGTTAATTATATTACTGTACCGTTTTTAAATAAAACGAGTGGTTCGAATTTATATAAATATATTTATTTATAACTTTACAGTTCGATACTATCTTATCAACTAAACTGACTCCTAATATCGTTACATATATATACCAAAGTTACTATGTTCTAGAAAGTTCCCACCTCTAATTCGCGTACGTGACCGATTGTTCTCTTGCCTTCGAGAGATCTGGTGATGATTCTGGAAGCCGTTTCGAGATGCAACCGTTATATGAGCCGTGCCGAAAGCATGTTCGTAACATTACTAACGAGAGAGTTTTAAAAACAAGTCGTATGCTATCATTTTATTTAAGGGAATTCTAACTAAAAATTAATTCCATGTAATTAAATCACCTATCAATAATTAACTGTATTTTTAATCAAATAATTATCCTTCTATAAAGTCGTCCCAGAACGCACCTCAAAAATATTAGCAATGCCATTTTAAAATTCTCAAGATTTTGCAGTCAAACTTCATTGCTGTAATTGTGGTTAATATTCTCCAATGGTGAGGTTGATTCCAAATTGGAGTAAAAAAGACCTTGAATTAATAGTATCTGTTACTAAGACTGCATGTAAACAAAGTATAAAGTAACTTTTGTAACTTTTTGTTATATTTTTTGAATTGTTTGTCCAATTTTGTATGGCTTAGCTGACATCGAATACCATCTAAGAAGCTTTTCCCAGCCCCGATCTACAGCGTATTTTTTGATGTAGTAATTCCGAAGAAACTCAGCAGCACATACCATGTGGTCCATATGTATGGAATAAATTCATTTTTAGCGTTATTATGTACTATGTGAAAAAAACCTTAAACAGGTCGATTTTTATTTTTAAATTGACAATTTACAGTATAAAAATATTATACCCTTCTAGCACCCCCTTTGAATTATAAGCACCCCCTCGAAAATTTTAAATGACAAAGGGGGTCGTGTGACACTTTGTTAGAAAGGGATTTTAGTCCTCTGTTCAGCAATATAAAGTTTTTTTTTATTTGTGCAATCATAACTGAGAAAATTGATTTTTACATTTCAATTAAATGTTCAACTTGACTACCATTATTCACTTCTTGACAATATCCGAGGTGATTTTGGAATTCTCGTACAACATTTTGTATGTCTTCGGGGGTTATTTTGTTAATTTCTTCCGTTATTCTAACTTTTAAATCAGCAGTGTTGCCTGGTCTATTAAAATATAAATTAAAAATAATCAGGTATTTTCGTATCTGTTTTGCTAAAAATTAGGGAAAAAAACTTTGAAGATAATAAAATATTAGTTAAAAAGCCAAATAAACTATTGATATGAATCGAGTAGGCTGCTGTCATCTAGGTATTTAAAGTTAGTAAAATATTTTTGCGCGGATTAAATTTAATTATGGCTCATTTGTCAGAGACTCAAAGAATAGACATTTTAATTATGATTGGTTGTGGTAACAAAACAAGAACTCAAAAGGAGGTTTGTGAAATGTTTAATGATAAATACCCTGGTCAACAAGTTTCACAGTCTACAGTTAGCAAAATTGAAAAGAAGTTTCGTTATTCTGGACATGTAAAAAATATTGACAAACCAGGTAGAACTATTAAATTTACTGATGAAAAAAAGTTAGATGTACTTCTAGAGATTGAGGAAAATCCGCATAAGACAACTCGAGAACTTGCCGCCGTCAATGATGTAAGTAAATCATCTATTTTGAGAATTTTGCACAAAGAAAAATATCACCCTTACAAACTTCAGTTGGTTCAGGAGTTAAATGAAGATGATCCTGATAGAAGGCAAGAATTCTGTGAAATAATGATGGACAGAATGAACGCGGATTTGCAGTTCATAAACAAAATAATGTTTTCTGATGAAGCGACGTTTCATTTAAACGGAACGGTTAACAAACAGAACTGTAGATATTGGAGCAGAGAAAATCCTCACTGGGTGTGTGAGAGTCACACGCAATATCCTAAAAAAGTTAACGTTTGGGCTGGTATTATTAACAATAAAATTATTGGTCCTTATTTTTTTGAGGGCACAGTTGATGGTGAGGTTTATCTAGATTTTTTGATTAACTTTTTAGTGCCTACATTACGAAGATCTTTTCCAGATGGTGATTATCCAAATGAAATAGATCGATCTATTTACTACCAACAAGACGGAGCTCCACCGCATTTTGCACGTATAGTTAGAAATTATTTAAACGAGGTTTTTCCCAATAGGTGGATTGGAAGACGTGGAACGATCGAATGGCCGGCTAGATCCCCAGATTTGACTCCTCTCGATTACTTTTTATGGGGATATTTAAAATCTAAAGTATATTTTAATAGACCAAACAGTATTGCTGATTTAAAAGTTAGGATAACGGAAGAAATAAACAAAATAACCCCCGAGGTCGTACAAAATGTTGTACGAGAATTCCAAAATCGCATCGGTTATTGTCAAGAAGTGAATGGTGGTCATTTTGAACACTTAATTTAATTGTAAATTATATTGAAAAATACATTCTAAATATTATGATATTTATATCTTCATTTAACCTACTGTTTTGTGATAGAGACATTATCAAAATTTTACATCTTAAAAATCAATTTTCTCAGTTATAATGGCACAAATTAAAAAAAAAATTATATTGCTGAAGAGAGGACTAAAATCCCTTTCTAACAAAGTGTCACACGACCCCCTTTGTCATTTAAAATTTTCGAGGGGGTGCTTATAATTCAAAGGGGGTGCTAGAAGGGTATAATATTTTTATACTGTAAATTGTCAATTTAAAAATAAAAATCGACCTGTTTAAGGTTTTTTTCACATAGTACATAATAAAGCTAAAAATGAATTTATTCCATACATATGGACCGCATGGTATATCATGGTAGAAGTGTTCTCTTAAGAATTTTCTTATTTTTAAAGTATAAGTATACTATAATACTTACTTGTTTTTTTTTCATTTCAAAATAGTCTGTAAGAAGTTTAAGAATATAAAAGCTAGTTAAATACATAATGATTCCTTATTGGCACATTTTTTCCTTCTAATTATTTAGCTCAAAAAGGAAAAGGCACTTAAAGCTAAATAAAGTACAGATTAGAGTTAAATGCACTCAGATCGAGACCTTAAAAGAATGTCACCAAAGAGATCTGTGAATAAAATCTACCGAGCAATCTGAGAAGGTAGAAGATACCGAGGAAGACACCGTCTTCAATATATCATCGGTAATGAGGAAAGAAAGAAAAAGAAAATTAAATGAAAGGAAATAAGTGAGAAACTGGGAGTCAAAATATGGGTAATAAAGGATCAGCATACTTAGAATCAGATCGTTGATTAAAACTGGTGTTGATCAAAATCGGTCTTGATCTTGCACTCTTGGTCTTGCTCTTGCGTTTTCGCAAGACCAAGACCAAGACGGCCTAATCTTAACAAGATCAAGACCGAGACTGGCCGTGCAGGATTTAAGCAAGAACAAGACTAAGCCTTCGAGATTTTTGCGTCTTGCAGTTACTTAAAGACTCTATAAGACGCAAAAAAATATGTAACAAAAATTTTAAAAATTGGACCTTTGCGCATTACGAACAATACCATAAACATACATAGCGAATCAAAATATTTATTAAAAGAACACTTGACACATTTGACACGTATTCAGAAGTAATAATTACAATGTAAAAAATAATATTTTGTACATGCTTTCCCAGCAGATGACTTCTTTGATCTGAAATTAATTGTCCAATTTTGAGAATAACCGTCTATAATATCTTATAATATATCTTATAGTCATAAAATGATCTTCTTGCGTTGCGACAGTAATATCGTATCGAAATTTTTTAAAAATATGTCACCTTAGGCTATAAAAAATGTAATAAGGTTAGCATACCTACTCCTACTGTTAAGAACACCCAACCTTACTAATTTAATTTTTTCCGTATTATATTTACTTATAAGGAATCTAAATACCACAAATCTTATAGGCCTATTACTAAACATCGGTTCTGCTGAGTGTACGATGAGCTCATTTGGTTAAACAAAATTGTCCCAAGACCAAGATCAAGACTGTCTAAGTCTCATTTTGTTCTTGCATTTGGGCAACACTAGTTAAAGCCGAAGTCTCCAACTTTGGACTGGAACACTGCGAAATACTTTTGAGAGTAAATCATTAAATAAATTTACAGAGCTCAGTATTTGTATATTGTTCAGTACAAAAGGCTGCTTTGACTAGAATTCGATTTAATAAAATTTAAAATGAAGGTAAAGTACTAATAAAATAAAAAATTGATAAAAAGTTATACCCATCCAAGAACATACATTAAAACCAAAAATAAAAAGTTGTGTTTGTGGATTAAATTAATAAAAACTTGATTTGTAATTATTTTATTAAAAACACGTTTAACAAACATTTATACCACAGGTGTTAACATTTCTTCTCCTGCAAGACATCTTAAAATATTTTTTGCTGCTAAATTAGCCATCGATTGCCTGGTTTCGTTTGTAGCAGTGCCCAGATGTGGGATTACAACTAAAAATAAAGTAATTAAAATAATTATTAGTCAAATAAAATCTAACCAGCTATATCTAATATTAAAAGAATTTTATTGGCTTTCCTATTGCATGTAAGATCTATTTTTTGTTACTTATTTCGATTGGGTAACTACTGTATTTAATACAAATAAACCAAGATTTCAATTGAAAATGCTTTATATTTGACGATATAAATATGTTTATATGGTCCATTGATAATGCTTAATTTTAAGTATTTCATATTTTAATTCTGGAGGCATCCGACGCTCTTATAGGTCATAAAGAATGCAAGAAGAAATTAGTGGAAACAGGTAGATACCGTTTTAGAAATGCAATCTACTTTATGAGACGCAGTCCTCGCGAGCCATGATTACATCCCGACTCCTATTCCAAAAAGAAATTTTGGCCTATCCCCAATATTTTACCAAACAGCTAAATATTCCTTTCTACATCTTTCTATCTGATGAAGAGTAGCATCAGCGTTTCAGGTAATGATCCTGTAGCGATCTATTATTTGAAACTAGGAGATATGATTGTATCACAGCCTAATCTATGATAATACTCCTAGTCACACCAATCCGTGTGGTTAGTGTGACAAATTAAGTTTAAAATACCTCTTTTTAACCTTTCTGTTATAAACCAGTTGAACTGCAAACGGTTGGTTTATTGTAGATCTTTTCTTCATATATGATATCCATATCGAGATTCTGGAAACTTGTACCGGCTTATACAAGTCTTGAGGATGGATAACATTTCCAGGACTTCCAAAATATTTGAGAAAGCAAGAAGATCGTGCTAAAAGGAACAATTTCATGAAAAGGAGAGAATTAATTAGATCAGGGAGCAACAAAAACGAGACCAGTGGCTATAACTTACGATACTGTATTTAGAAATAATAATAATACAGCTACAGTTCAACAAGAACAACATTTTCAAGCGAGCCAAACAACAACAACAGCTCCACTCGCTGAACGTGCTGCGCTGAAAGATCAATCAGCGCTCACTTTAAGTGACTCAAGCTGGAAGCTGGATGACCAAGTCAGCGCATAAAATGGATTGTTGTAGAGATGGGAGAAACTTATACCAAATAATATATTTAAACACTTTTTTATTAGAATAATTTTTGATCTATTTTTTGTGATACCTATCGAGAATGTTTTTATTTGTTTGCAAAAATTATATTTATTATAAAACAAAAAAACATATACGCAAAACACACACAAATATTTAAAAAAATCATAGATAAATATTGACAAAACGACTATTAATTCAAAATCTAATAGCCACAGTACTCGGTACTCAGTACTCAATGAAGTATCCGATTCCTTACTGTACTCGATTTTACGGTAACCGATTCCTATAAGTAATCGATTCTGACCATCACTGTGTCCATAAATGAAAATATTTTGCGCTTTTAGTATAAGGAGACAAATCTCGGTCAAGAAACGATTGGCTATCGAGAAAGTCTGTATGCCGAATTTTGCAGAGAGTGCCCAGAAATTCAAGTATCTGAACATCGAGTAGAAGATCAGTACTGGGTAATCATCAGAAAAAATCTCATCCCAGAGACTAGACGCAATACATCATAAACATAATGAAGATGTACTTGAAAATAAACCCTCTAATGAAATGCATGAGAAGATTCCTGTATAAAAAACTCAAGACATTGGTAAAATCACAAAATATATTCAAGGAACAACAAGTAGAAAAGTAATCAAAAGAGCTAAAGAAATAATGCTTACTATCGCAAGACATACTCAATATTATTTAGAAAACACAGCACTACAGTGCCTGGATACATTAAAACAAAAACTCTCCGTTTATTCAGGCTGACTAAGAAGATAAAAAATGAGCAACAAACGGAAATCTGACAAAACGCATTTTGAGAATGACTAGAATGCGTTAAATCGGAAACTCAATACCACTGTAGAAAGTGCCAACAAATCGTTCCCAAGCCAAGAAGAAATTCATGAGTTTTGGGGAATTTAACTTTCCACAACAGCTGCTCTTAACACCAATGCTGGATGGATCAAAGATGCGACTTACAACTGTCAACACTACGTCACTACTCCCTACAAACCCTTCACTACTAAAGAAGTTTTAAATATTAAAAACTTGATAATTGGAAATCCGCAGGAAATATCATCATTATTAACTAAAGGAAAACCTTATTTAATATATATATATATATATATATATATATATATATATATAAATATATATATATATATATATATATATATATATATATATATATATATATATTATATATATATATATATATATACACCGGTATTTAGACGCCACGTCCTTCCTGTAGGGATCTATGGAGGAATATCACCGAGCCTCAAGCACTTATCTCTTGCCGTACTGCTCCACCATAGGCCGATCAGATACCAGCATATTATAGTCTAAGGAGCAGATTCACTTTTAGAATTTTAAACTGCTGCGTTAGCCTTTTTTATTTTTCTGTACACCGAGCCAGGACTTGAACCGACATCCACTTAACCATTCGACCGTGAAGCGAATAAGAGTCGGCCGGATTGGCTATCTGACCGACGAAACTTTCTTTAATACCACAGGATAAAAAAAAACAACAATAAGATCCAACCAAGTATCGCCCAATTACTTGTCTTCCAACTCTGTATAAATTGGTCATATCCTATGTAGCCCGGCATATCTACCAACACTGTGCTCTAAAAAATATCATAGAGCCTCAACAGAAAAGATGCGCTAAGAGTTCCATGGACAGCAAAGAACAACTTATCATCGAATCTTTTATTTCTAACCATGCATATAACAACGAAGAGAACCTCTTTATTCCTTTAAGTTTAAGAAACCATCCAACATCTGACCATGGGCTGCCATGCATTTGCTGTAACTAGCAATGAATGCACTGCCGGAAGCACAGACCTCCGGTGAGGCTTGGAGGACATCGAGGTTGGTACTATTTCCAAAGCTGGGAAAAAGTATCTAGCTGGAAAAAATTGTCGCCAAGTGCTTGGTCAGAGTGACCAATGAGCACTCTTGACACGCATCGTTCCGCCTTCTTTCCTTTTCCTAATTGCCCATTGGTCTTTTGGTTTGGAATCTTCTAAAATATTGTGTATGAATATTAGTTGATTTCCACACCAAAGGACAGTCTACCTCGGTCTCTTCTAGAACCCTAAATTCTAGATAGCCGACTAGCGGGGCTCTGCTCCACCTACCTAAGACTCTGAGGCTTTGTCTTCGCCTTCTACGAAAATAGTTTTATTTCAACATCCAAACTTGTAAAAGGGATAGAGTATTTTGCACATCAGATTCACGAAATATCCTAGAGCAGAACGTATGGTGGGAGACGGTTTTACCGTCATGTTACCCCTCCGGTAATTAATTATACACTAAGGTCAGTCAGACGGTGTACTAAACTAAGATGTATTTTAAAAAGTTCAGACTTCCTTCTCTATGAAGACGAAAAAAAATGCGATAGTGCCTTTTTGATACGCCTATTAACATTGAAGTATCGTACTTTAACTACACCAATTATTTAAGCTAAGTATATCATCAATATCAAAAATCGAAATGTTCATATATCCAATGTTTAGAATTGGATGCAAGATATTTCTCTTTCCAGAGATAAATACAGCTCTTTAATTTGGAAGAAACTTTATTTAAAAACAATCCACTCTTTGTATTGAACTTACCGGCATTTGACAATGTTAGTAGCTCATGGTTCGATGGTATTGGTTCGGGAGTCATAACATCTAGACCAGCAGCAAAAATAGTACGCTTCTTAAGGGCATTTATTAATGCTGGTTGGTCAACCACTTCCCCTCTACCAACATTAATGAATACTGCGGTCTTCTTCATTTTTGAAAAGAATTCTTCATTACACATATGTTTTGTTTCCGTCGTTAAAGGTGCTACGACTATAATGAAGTCACTTTCTTCTATAAGTGTATTTAGTGATACAAATTTAGCTCCCAATTCGATTCCTGAAAAAAAAAATAGAACTTTTTTAGATACAGTGAAAACACAAGCAGTAATTTATTAAGCAAAGCTTGTATACCGACGTTGTATTAAATTTTTTTCTATAGTAAAATGCTGAAGTGGAAGTGACGGAACTAGCGCCACAAGATGGCGTCATCACGGGTAGCGTCACAAAATAGTTTCTTCACATCGATTCGCTACTCTCGATTAATTCGTTTCTGGTCATTATAGATTTATTCTAAGCATATTTAAATTAAAAAATGAATGAAAAATAATTAAAAAAATTATGACATAAAATAAAAAGTAAAAAAGTTTAAAAAACCTGTCAATAATGATTTGATTCGCAACGTTTATTAATATTTTATTATTATTGTTTTTAAACATCTCATTTAGTTTATACAATAATTAAATTTACGGTCAAATGATATTTAATTAAATTTTAATATTTATTTAATATTTCGTTTAAATTTGACAGGTCTGTCAGAAGCAAACAATGCATGTTTTGTTAGTACATTGTCAGGTGGCGCTTACTATCTCCCAGATATAAGTAATGCGTCTCTTATGGCGGAAACAGTATTGCTTTGATTCTCGTTACATTTATATTATAGTTATATGACTGACCATATGTTAAAAACCAAATAGACTTACCTTCTTTCTTTTCTTTATGGCCAGTATATAGCAGCTGTTTCAAATCAAAGCCTTTTAGCCTTTTTGCAATTGTTTGTCCAATTTGACCAAATCCAATAATACCAACTGTCGAATTCGTTATATCCTGACCGCACATCCATTCAGAATCATTTGGCATCCACTCACCACTAAAAATATTAACTTAGTTTTATTAAAATTATTTAGCTATACTACGTTCCACGTTTAGAAAATAACATTGCGGAGATAGGGCCATGTATTTCTTATGGACGATAGCAACGCGGCGTTGCCACGACACACACAAGCACAATTTAAGGTTGTATAATTTGTATTTTCGAACGTAATTGACCAAAAGTGCCCATTCGAAACAAGAGATGAAAAGTAGGGAAAATGATTTTAATTAGATAAATAGTATTTACAAAAGATAATTTTATTTTATCTTATTTTAATTATAGTAACGACAGTTTATTTGTTTTTCGGTGAGAATACGATACGCCATGAATCATATAAATCAGTAGAAAATATTGACCGCTTGGAATGTGTATATCTAATTACTAATTGCAACTTAAAATAATACGATGTGCGTATGTCAGCTATTTTATATCGTCTCTGACTACATAATGATAATAAAGCTTTTATTTAGTAGTTATTCTGACTTTTACAGTTAAATGTTAATTGAAAATGAAAATTCAAAAAGGAATATCTTGGACATCCGTGCAAAAGAGAGTGCCTGGGAGTTTTGGCAACACTGATCTCCATAAGCGGAATGTTATTTTCTTAACTTGAAACAAAGAATAGAAAGTCATCCCGTCAGATATTAGAGTAAACATGAGTGGGACGCATAAGAATGAAGAATACTTTTAAAAGTAGAAGCAAAATCAAATAAATGGAGAGCACTAGTAAATATTGTATTGTAAGACAATATGCTGACAATATAGCAATTTTTTAGATCCGAAGAACTTCAAAAGATTTCTGATAGTTACGAAAACGAGTAAAAGAACAATAACCATATACATATCTTTATAATTAGGTACTACTTTCCTAATAGTTTTTACCACATATGTATCTATGACGCTCGTAGTGCAGACGTTGATCTAGAATCTTGATATGTCGAGTCTCTAGACGACTCGAGAATCTCGAATCAAATTAAAATAATACCATTTTTACAGATTTAGCCATACGGCTCACACTCCCTCTAAGGGGAAAGTTCACTTATCCCAGATACCTACGGTATCAAAAGGATTGAGCTCTGGTGGGACTCTTTCCATGTTATCGAGTCCTAGGCGACTTGGTACGTCGGTGTATCTCCCAAAAATGTCTAGCACATCTTTCTACATTATGATCTTATATAGATGTTCATTTAGATCCAGCTTTTTTATGTTTTCTAGGAGATTCTTCGGAATAACTCCAGTGGTAGAAGGAATAATAGGTATCATCTGGGTACTTTCCATTCTCAATTGTCTCTTTATTTTTATTTCCAGATCTCTATACTTGGCGATCTTTTTGTTGTACTTAACACGCAGATTATTGTTGTTAGGTATCGCCACATCGATTAGAGTTGTTTGTCTTGTTAGTTTACTAGTCTCCATATTTTTAAAAAATAATTAAGTTTTTACAGTTTTTGCCGTTATTTTCCCACGGCTATTTATCCCTTTAAGTGAGAGCGCCCACCAAAGTGGCGTGGCACGTAGCAAGTGGCAAGTAGCACGCGTCTAGCATGTTTCTTAAAATGTAACCAATGAAAACGAATGATTCAGCGCACACCAAAATGACAGTGACGTCATTTATTCTAATCATTCGTTTTCATTGGTTATATTTTAAGAAACATGCTAGACGCGTGCTACTTGCTACGTGCTACTTGCCACGCCAGTTTGGTGGGCGCTCTCCCTAAAAGCAATGGTAAACTACAAAAGCCCACCTTGGGCACATGTAGATCCGACAAAGACAGGAATTTTTTTATTTTCACCCCCAAGTCACTCGGTAACTTAGCACTCTATATACTACGTAATACCGGCTTCTTGTTAAAACTATTCTAAACAACTAAGTCAATTACACTTACTTTTCTATGCTTAATCTAGCTTCACGGAGACGTCTTGGCGCTGCCAAAGTTAAAAGTACAGCAATATCGGCTACCGCATCGTTAAGTACTTTCGGTGTGTTTGCCACACGGATTCTACGTTTTCTAAGTTCTTCTATGTCCACATGATTATAACCAGCTGCCATAAGCCCAATTGCCTTTAATTGTGGTCCTTAAAATTTAAAACAAAACAATTAATGGTTGACATGGCTCGATGATGAGTGCAGACAAATAGTAGAGGAAAGAAATGAAGCACATAATTTATATAACAAGAAGAACACGGGAAAGACGAACATCATTTGAAATCGCAAGACGACAAGCAGATAAGATATGTAGGAATAAAAAAAGAGCCTATGAAAATGGACAAATAGAAAAAATTGAAGTAAATTTTAAAAACAACGAAATAAGAGGGGCTTACGAATACCTAAAAAAAAGTGGGTATAAACGTCAAACAAGACTATGTAAAGATGAAAGTGGGTAAATCAGTGACCAATAGAACGTCACAGAAACCTGGAAGCATTATTTTCAGACCCTACTTGGTACACAAGTAGATATGGAAGATGAAATGGGTACGAACTACGTAGAAGAGAATGAAGTAGAGGATGAAGTAGAAGCTCCAACCATAAAGAAAGTTTTCGAAGCTATAAGGCCCAGAAAAATAATAAAGCCCCGGGAGTTGACGAAATACCAGCAGAATTGTATAAGGTATGTAGCGAGCACCTAGCAAGTCACATCCATGCTGTCATTAAAGACATATGGCAAGAAGAGAAAATACCCGACGACTGGAAGACAAGTATAGTATACCGATCTATAAAAAAGGAGACAAACTCTAGTGCAAAAACTACCGTGGAATTTCTCTACTATGTACAGAATATAAAGTCCTCAGGTATATTATAAACCAGCGAGTCCAACCACTGGCAGAAAATATTATTGGAGAGTATCAGAGGGGCTGAAGACGGCCCAGCAAGTGACAACAGTAGGTTCGTTGAATTTCGCTTCGTAATAAACTTCAAATAATTGGGAAATTTGGAAATTACAAGTCAGAAAATTCAACAGAGTTCAAAAATAAGTATTCAAAGTTAAGTGCATACATATGATAGTAGTTAATAAAGGAAATACCATCAGACAAGTAAGATAGAATTATTTTAATACTTTAAATAAATAATTGTATGAAGGACGTAGGATCACTTGCTTAGGTGATCCTACGCGTTTTTTGGGCTTTTTGGCAGATAAGAAAGTAATTTGGAAAAGGAAGAGAATGAGGATGTCATGATTAAAATGATGCAATAAATAATAGAAAAAAATGAAGAAATGATGAATGAAATAAAGCAAATAAGAAAAGAACAAACGGAAAATATTAAACAACTACAAGAGATACAGGAGGAAAACATAATCTTTAAAAACGAAGTGAAACAATTACAATACAAAATGGAACAACTAAAGAAAACAAGTAAAAGATAAGTTTGATTATATTGGGCTTAAAAATAGATACAAATGATGATAAAAACTAAAAGAAAGCATGGAAATATTCATATCGCAAGAACTGCAGGCGCAAATAAAACTGAGAAACGCAACAAAAATAGGAGAAACAGTCTATGCCATAGAAACAGAAACTTTTACGAATAAAATTGAGATACTAAATAGGAAAAGTAAGTTGAAGTATTATAAAGATCGCATTTACCTAAATAATGATCTGACAGCAAAAGAATAGGAAATACAGAAAGAAATAGTTAAAATATAATATAAAGTATAAAAATACCAAAGAAAAGTTGCCAAAAAACTAATAAAAGAAAAACAAGCGGAGAGCTATAATACCAAAACGGCAAGGCAAAGGAATACGACCATGGCAAACGGAAAAATAATCACAAAAGAAAGGCAACAATCCTAGGATATAATAAAAATTGAGACTTGGAATATGAGAGTTACTTATGAGCAGGGAGCTTTATGAAACTTAGACCAAATTTTGGAAAAATATACAATATACAATATACAATTGTCATGCAAAAAAGAAACAACTAGGAAATGAAATAATAAAAATAGGTAAGAGCACACTGTTCAAAATTGGGGAGACCAAGAGATATTTTGGAGTGGGATTCATGGTGTCGGAGAAAGTAAACAAAGCAGTTATAGATTTTCAACCAATATCAGACAGAATATGTTACTTAAGAATCAGAGGAAAGTATAGGAAGATAAGTATCATTAATGTACATGCGCCCACTGAAGATAAAGACTTAGAAACCAAAACAGAGTTCTACGAAAAGCTAAGCACCCTAATAGGGAATATACAGAAATACTATATAAAGATAATCATTGTGACATGAATGCAAAAATCGGAAAGGAGGAAATATATACAGGAATAACACGGGGACGAAGTTTACATAAGAAATCAAATGAAAACGGGAAAAAGGTAACATTAACTTCTCCGATGAAAAAATTGAAAATCAGATAGATCATGTCCCAAACATGATAAGGCAATAATCGATTGCTTCAGCAGTCATCAAGTTATCCATCATCAAATCCAAGCATATCACCTACACCTACAAATCTCCATGACAAAGAAATTACTAACGCTCCTACTCATAACAACACTTTCAATCAACCTCAATCAGTAGCAATACCGTTTTCACAAACTTCGGAAGCAATATCCTCTAATCTATCAGCTCCTTTTTCATTAGATACAACTGCAGAAAATTCTAATAAAACTGATACAACAAGACAATTTTCTGAAACAACCATTTCAACCAATGTTACAAATAAAGGTTCAAGCTCGAGTTCTGTCACTACCAAGGAGTTTGCTCCAGTACTTCCAAATGTAATAAAGCCACAGCATCTAAATGAAAACTCTAATAACAATTCCGAAAACACAAGTTCTTCCATAAAACGCAGTATTGGTGAGATCGTCACGCCTTCTTCAGACTCATTAATTTCATCACAAAATCTGTTTGCAAAACCCAAACCCTCTAAACCAAAAAAAACGAGCTCATCTAAAGTCCCATCTACACGGGAAACTCTTGAAAATTTCATTGATAATCATATCCCACCATTCGTTTTAAATTACCACCAATTGTCCTTACTGATTGATAATGTCCAAGGCTCCTCCGACACTATTAGCGTCGTCAAAGAATTTACAACTGATATCTGTGGTTTATTCCATCTTTTACAAAGCAGCTATCAATATGCAAATGATAGATCTACAAAAAGCAAGTTTACAAAACTTCAAAAGAAACTATACAACCATTTAGAGAAAGAGATTTCTGACTTAGATAGTGACTCTTCTGTATACAATTGTTCAGTATCATCTAACTCCGAATCTGTTAACAACATTCAACTCGATACTTTAATGGAACATTGATGGATTTTTTCATCGTCTCCCTATGCTACAGCTTCTTTTATCTAAATATTCTCCAGATATTATTATTTCTTATGAACATGGAAGATGCGTCCAATTTTTATGGGTTTCCTCAAACGTCGGAATAACAAGAAATGAAGAAGCTGACAGGACTGCACGAGAGGCAATTTTAAGTGATTTGTCGCAGCCGATAGACAAGTGTGTTTTTAGTGACTTAGAAGCTTATTTTAAAAATAAAGTGTGGTGTTTGTGGCAAAATGAGTGGTCTCAAACTAATTCCAATCTAAATAAAATCAAAAATAATGTGTCTCAGTGATTTCCATCGTCGCTCAATAGACGAGAACAAATTGCGGTTGAGCGTTTACGCCTAGGACATACCAGATTAACGTACTCCTACCTTTTTACAAAGAAAAATCCACCTATATGTGATCAGTGTAACGTCCGATTAACAGTCGAACATTTTTTAACAATTTGTAGTAAATATAACCAAGAAAGACAGCGCTACAGGATCCCAAACGTTCTACTAAAGGCTCTAGGTCAAAACTGTTCCTGTAAGAATATAGTGAATAATCTTAGATCCATAAACATTTTGTACAATCTGTAGGTATTTAACTTTGTTTTTTATATTTTGTTCCGTCGCTAATAACCTTTTGGTGGATGCGACATCTTTTTCTAATAAAAAAAAAAAAAAAATAATCGATTGCAGGAGTTACAGAGAGGCAGATACCAACAGTAACCATACACTAATAATAGCACAACTAAAACAATAACTACCAATAATACCAAAATCTGTTGTTGTTGTTGTTTGTTTGTGTTTAAATGACTGCGGACACTAAATCCATTCGCCAAACAAAACCTGTTAGAGATAGATTAAATTATCAATTAGAGCACCTTCAAGAGAAGCAGATTGTAAACAGATTGTTGGAAGAAATAAAAAAAAACAGAGAATTCAGTTTATAGATGAAGAATGGCAGACCATACAGACAGCCATGTCGGTAGCAGCTGCAAAGTGTATAGGAACAGAGCATAATAAAACGACGGCAAGACTGGTTCGATGAAGAATGTAGGAAAATTTTGGCAAGAAGAAACAGGACAAAACTACAAAGAGATAAAGATAATACCCAAAATGCGATCGAAAACTATGTGGCAAGAAGAAGGGAAGTGAAAAGAATATGCAAAAAAAAGAAAAGAGAACAGCTAGGAAAGCAATTGAAAAACATAGAAGAAGCCTACATAAACAAAGAGAGTAAGAATTTCTACCAAGAAGTTAAGAAATCCAAAGAAACTACAAAGAATCTTCTTCCTCTTTTTTATAAGCAAAATGCTTGTTCAATGTCCATTAATGCCTCTATTGGAGGTTATCACTCCATCTTTTGCGTGGTCGCCCGATACTTCTTCTACCTTTTGGTGATTTGTCCCTCGCTATTCTGACTAATCGGGTCTCTTCCATTCTGTTTATGTGTTCGTTCCATTCCTTTTTTCTCTTCAGTGTCCACTCATTTATTTCTGGTATATTGCATTTTCTTCTGATCTCTTCACTCCTTATTTGATCCCTCAGGGTGTTTCCTGTAATTCTCCTCAGTAAACGCATCTCCGCTGTTTCTAGTAGTTGCTGAGTTTTGGAGGTATCCGGTCTTGTCTCTGAAGTGTATGTCATTATTGGTCTTATTGTTGCTTTGTAGATTCTTGATTTCACGTCGGTATTAATGTGGGGATTGCGCCATATCGTGTTATTAAGACAACCTGCTATTTTATTAGCCTTTTGTACTTGATTTTTCACTTCCTTCTCCACATCTCCGTAGCTAGACAGTGTAATTCCTAGGTAATTTGTCTCCATTACTTGCTCAATGCTGATACCGTCGATTTCCAGTTTACATCTAATTGGTTCTTTACTGATTACAATTGTTTTAGTTTTCTGTGTAGAGATCACCATATTAAAGTTCTTTGCCCTTGTGCTGAATCTATGGGTTAGTCTTTGTAGATCGTCTTCATTGGATGCAATTAGGGCCGCATCATCTGCATAGCAGAGTATTCTAATTTCTTTGTTCCCCGTTTTGTATCCTCTTCCTTTATTAATAGTATTGATGATTTCATCCATGATTAGATTGAATAGCGTTGGACTAAGCGAGTCTCCTTGTCTTATTCCATTGCCCATATCTATTGGATCTGTAAGCTGGTCATCTATTCTGACTTCCATATTGTTGTTCTGGTAAATGTTCTCTATTGTTTTTATAACATTTAGTGGAATTTCTCTATCGTAAAGAAGGTGAATTACATCTTTAAGCTTTACTTTATCGAACGCTTTCTTCAGGTCTATTAGACATATGAATGCTGGTCTGTTATACTCTAGTGCTTTCTCGGTAATCTGTTTTATGATGAATACTGCATCTGTGCACGATCTTTCTGTGCGAAAACCCTGCTGTTCATCCGCTAAGGTAATTCTCTGATTTATTTGGCCCTGCAATATTTTGGTTGTAAGCTTCAAAATGTTGTTTAATAAGTTGACACCTCTGTAGTTTTCAGGTTGTTTTTTATCTCCTTTTTTGTATAGTAGGATAAGCTCGCTTTTCTTCCACTCTTCAAGTATTTTATTATGTTTGATGATTTTGTTAATTAGTGCTGTTAGCTGTTCTGTTAATGCTTCTCCACCATATTTCAATAATTCATTTGGAATTCCATCTTTACCTGCAGCTTTTCTGTTCTTCAGTTTTTCTAAAGTTTGTTTTACTTCTTGTACGGTTATCTCGACTTCCTCGTTTGTAATGATTTCTGGTGTTTCTGGTTCTAACATCATTTTCTGTTCATCATTATAAAGCTTCCTTAGGTATTCAATCCATGTGCCGTTATCTAGGTGTTTCGGTTCGATTAAGTCTTTCATCTCTGATCTTTGGCCTCTTATGAAACGCCATATTTCCTTTTGTAGACCGTAAAAGTCGTGTTCCATTTCTTTTGAGAAGCGTTCCCAGTGTTCGTTTTTAATTTTTCTTACTAGTGCTATTGTTTCGTTTCTTATCTTTTTGTAATTGTTGTATTCTTGTGGTGTTTTGTTAGACATGTATCTTAAGTAAGCTTTCTTTTTTTCTTTGCATTTTTCTTTCACTTCTGCGCAGAACCACGGAGTTTTCCGCTTTTGGAAATATTTATTTTTAAGAATTTTCCTACAGCTTCTTTTGATGAATCTAGGATGCTTGCTTTAATTTTCGCCCAGCTTTCTTTGATTCCATCACTTTCTACGATGTGCACGTTGTCAAGTTTATCTTTGACTCTCTTTTGGTATAGAAGTTTTGTTGATTCGTTCTGCAGACTCTCGACTTTTACCTTTGTGGTGTATTCTTCTTTTTTATTTTTATTGTTTTTATTGTTACATATGCGTGTCGTCATTCTGATTTTTCCAAGTATAAGCTTATGGTCGCTTCCTATTTCTGCCGATGTTAGTGCTCTTATGTCCAATACTTGAGAGGGATGTATTACCCTGTTCGTCAGGATAGGATAAACTACAAAGAATAATCCACAGTATTGCAGAAACAAAGACGGCTTACTTCTAGGTGAAACAACAGAAAAATTAAACAAATGGGCGGAATATTTCGAAGATCTATTAAATACAGACCAACAAGAGGAACTTGAGGGAAATGATTGTCAAGAAGATGAAGAAGAAAGTGCAGGAGACAGTGGTTGAAAAAATCGTGTCTGAACTTCTATTGAAATCCAACGATCTACCTAGTTTCTGAGTAATTTTTATAAGAATAATATTCTAGTAAAATCTTGGATATATTCTAATAAACTTGGATCAAAATTGTATGATCAGGCATACTTTCCTCAGATAAGAGAAGAATTAAAGACTAAAAATAACACATAGCAGCTTGATAGTAAATAAGCTGATAATCTAAACGCTAATATGGTAATTTTACCTGCTGCATTTATAACTTCTAAATCCAGTTTAACATCAGATGCCCAAAACACAGCATCCACTCCTCTAACATTGTTTAAAATGTTTTCTCTAGTTTCTTTCTCTACCTGTATGACATTACACCTAAAATATCATTGATTTTTATTAAAATGTTTGGTAATTAGTTTTTAATTTAACATTTACGATTTACATAATAAGTATCTATATGTTTGTAGATGATAACATTGACAGGGTGGTCGGTCAATTTTTTAAATTTCTCTAAAGTCTTATAACATTTTCTCATATTATTAGAATATAGGCCAGGGATATAAGCAAAAAAAGTACTCTATTTGTGACATTAAACCGGTCATATTATTATCTGTCATATAATTGTCTTTGTGCTCGATGGTCATATTATTATGGACTTCTGTAACAAACATCTGTTTCCTGTAGTCGATTTTTTTAACTTAATTTCTGCTCAAACTGAATTTTATGACATTTCAACGTATTATCAAATATTTTTATTATCTTCTTGTTTTTACGTGTTGTCTCTGTTTTAAAGTTTGGCTATCAACATTGCTCGGTTGTGCATCCTTCGAATAAAAGAAAAATTTTTCAACATATGCCAGATCACCGTGCACGCGCCAACCGAGGAAAAAGACGAAGAAATTAAAGATCTATTCTACGAAGACCTCGAAAGAGCATATAATAACTGTGCCAAAAACGATATTAAAATAATCATTGGAGACATGAACGCCCAGATAGGAAAAGAGATATGCTACCAAGATTATATTGGTAAATACAGGCTTCACGATGTTAGTAATGGCATTGGTTTAAGGCTTATTAGTATGGCAGCTTCCAAAGATTTAATTGTGGGAAGTACATGTTTTAATCACAAGAATTTCCATAAAGCCACTTGGATATCACCAAATGGACACACCACAAATCAAATCGACCATGTTATAATTGACAGAAGGCACTTTACAAACCTAATGGACGTAAGAAGTTACAGTGGAGCAAATATTGACTCAGACCATTTCATGGTAGGAGCCAAGTTATGACAAAGAATTTCTAATGCCAAGAAAGAAATGAGCACTAGACAAGTAAAATATAATTTACATATGCTAAAAAATAAAAACAAAGAGAAACAGTTCCAGTCACATATACAAGAAACCCTAGAACACACCTGGGTAGTCGACCAGTCAAGCACGGAAATGTGGAACAACTGCGAGGAAGCTCTGAAATTAGCAGCTGAAAGCACATTGGGAATATCCCGAACCCAAGAAAGAAACGACTGGTTCGACCAAGACTGCAAAAAAAAATAACAGATGAGAAGAACGAGGCATTTAGGACCATGCAACAACGGAAAACTAGGACAGTAATGGATATATACAAAAACTTAAAGATAAAGGAAAAACGTAGGTCGAAAAAAGAAACGAGATTCGGAAAATGACATATCAGAACGGCTCGAAAGCCATATGACTCACGGAGAAACAAGAAAGTTCTATCATCAAATAAATATTATTAAAAAAGAATTCAAACAGAGTTGGCAAGTAAGGTAACTTACTTACCAACAAAGAGGACATCCTGTTACGATGGGTAGAGTACTTTCGCGAGTTGCTGGAAGGGGAACGTACTAATAATATAGAGCTGGAATACCTAAATGAGGAACTCGTGGAACCCCCTCGGTAGATGAAGTAAAGAAATCTATAGAAAAACTAAGGAAACGCAAATCCCCAGACAGCGATGGCATCCCAGCAGAGTTATTTAAGCACGGTGGAGAGCAGCTCACCAAGTTGATGCAAGAAATTGTTTGTAAAATTTGGTCTGAGGAGCAAATGCCTGAAGAATGGAGCTTAGGCTTAATTTGCCCGTTATACAAAAAGGGAAACCAACCGAAACGCAATAATTATTGCGGAATAACTCTCCTAAATACAGCATACAAGATATTGTCAAACATTTTGCACTAGACATTGAAGCCTTATACCAAAACGTTTCTAGGAGAATATCAGGCAGGATTCAGGCGTGGACGTTCAACCATTAACCAGATCTTGACACTACGACTGATCCTCGCAACTGTTTAACATAGATATGTATCATATTTTTGTCGATTTTAAAGCGGCATATGATAGTGTCTTAAGACTAAGTCTTTACAACGCTATGAATGAGTTAGGAATACTAAAAAACTCATATGATTGATAAAAGTGACAATGGAGAAGATGCTATCAGCAGTAAAAATTCAAAACAACTCATCAACCCCATTTGAAATACATAGGGGGTTAAGGCAGGGAGATGCGCTGAGGTTTCAGCTTTTTAATGTCGCCTTAGAAAAAGTTGTACGAGACGCTAATTTAGATAGCAGGGGAACAATATTTAATAGATCAGTCCAAATTCTAGCATATGCAGACGACGTGGACATTATAACAAAAATCAGGACGAGAACTGCGAAAATTCCGCAATGTTGGTGAATTTATCTGCATATTATATGGAGTTGAGACACCTAGGACAACGGGTTAGAGATACTAGAGATCAGAAGATGGCGACACGTTGTCAGAAACCGAATAGAAAGGCGACTAATCTTAGAGCAGGCCAGGATCCACAGAAGATTGTCGAGCCAAATATGATGACCTGCGTATTAAATATTGTTAATGGGAATTCCATTCACTTTTTTACCAATATTTCCGTTTTCAAGGGCCTTCTTAATTATGTGTTCTGAGCATCGAGTAAAATGACAAGTCTTTTTGCTTGATGGTTCTGGGTATAGGTTAAGTAAAGTTGGTGATAGAATAGAACCTTGCTTGACTACTCTTTTTATGTTTAATTTTTATGTATATCTGTATGTGTGTAAGTGTAAATATTTAAAAGCTACGACTTAATGTTTAATACTTACCCATTGTTTTTTAGTAAAGTAAGTGCAGAATCTGGCACTGTAGGATTACTCACTAACACTTTAAAGTTGCTCATGTTACTTTGTTGAGCTTTTCCAGAATGGAAGAAAAGCTAATAACGAAAAATAGTTGTAAACCTGAAATATATCGAAAAACTTATCTTACACTAGAACCTTTAAAATTCTGTTGTTTTGTGTTTGGACAAATACATACACGAACACAAACACGTATATTTGTAAAATAGAATCACATTTAATAATGATCGTCGCTGCCTTCTCAACTTTTAAGTTTAGAAAGGATTAGAAATTATAAATTAAATGTTAGTTTTTGGTTTTCCATGAGACGAACAACTTTCTTCGTACACGCTAATCAGGGAATATATCTACAATTTTATTAATATCTCTCTGATGGGCAACTTCATTTTCACCTAAAAGCGCTAGTCAAAATAACCGTGCATCTGAAATTGTACTACAAAGACATGATTTTATTAATTTAAGTGTAGAAAATGATTTCTCAGACCCAGTGTTTGTGACAGGTAAAGTTATAAACAAGATGTAACAATGACAAACTTTTGGTATGCAAGAACTAGTGCAATAAAAATCTATAAAAATAATCACGATATGTGGGAGTATAATATTATTTTAGATAACGTAGTCAAAATTGACATGCAGTTCTATTTTACACCAAGCACAGTCTGAAATCTGAATGACCACCTATGTACCTACCTACACACAGAAATTCCTGAAAATGTCACCCGAAAATCTCAAATAATTTACTATTCTTTTTATTACAATATTTTTATTAAATTATCTGTCATACTAGCCACACGCTATTGTACTGTTTTAAATATAAATTGAGAACATATTTTATAAAATCAATAATGTACTATAACTCTAACAGTTAAATTACTGGTTGCCTATCTAGAAGTTTAAAGGTTAATTAAACAATAACAGTAACAGTTAAATGTGTCCATAAAAACGGCTCTCCTTTATGCATTAAGTCTTATAAAAAACATTATAATGTAGATTCTAATAAATAAACCTTTTTAAGAAAGCAAATTGCGCAACCGAGAGTTTTCAGACAACCGTAAAACCCTGAATTTTATTGAATATGCCTAAAAATCGTTATCATGCAGTTGATTGTCATTTCCTGTCAACATCTATAATTTGAAATAAATAAAAGTGAGAGAATTTTAAAATTGTAAATATTGAAGTTATAGTAGTAATGAGTAATGATGTAGAAAGTTCAGAAAACACTGATGGCTCTGTACATAATGAAGAAGAACCCCAAAATGAGACTGAAAAGAAAAAAACTATTTCAGAAGATAGTGCCATAGACCCTATTGGAACAGATTGTTCAGAAAGTAGCAATGAAGACAGTGTTTCTAACAGCGAATCTATAAGGACTGACGATACAGAGGGTAGTATAGCTGATAAGTTAAGGGAAACTGTAACATATCAACAAAGTATAATAGAACAAAAATCGAACAAAGTAAGAAACCTGGAGGTAGATTACTCAAAATTACTACAAGCTGTTAAAGAATTAGAATCCAAATTAGAAATTGCTACAAAAAAGAAAGATGCTGCTGTTAAAGAAAAAGAAGCTATGGTTGTTCGATATGCTGTTTCTGAAAAAAATGTTCTAAGAGAGAAACAACAAAAGGAAACTGTTGAGAAAAAACTAAATGAAGCTGTGCGTGAAACTGAAACGATGCAATATAAAGTTCGTTTAATGGTGAATGAAAAATCTCGAATTTGTCAAATGCTAGATAAAAAACACCATGAGAACAAAATGCTGCAGCAGGAGTGTGAGCAGAAAAAAGCAGATTTGGCAGCAAGTGACAACAAACTCAAAAGAGTACAAACAAACCTAAGGACAGAATCAGAGAATCATAAAGATACTCAAGCAAAGCTGGAAAACATCACAACTAAATATCAAGAGGTAATTAAATATTTTATATAAACTAGTAACAGTTTGGGAGAAGTATGTAGAGTACTTTACATGCTTAAGTAAATGTCAGTAGACAATAGTTTATTTATCGTCTACTGACATTTACAAAAGTGGTAATTAAACAAATGTTTATTTTTTAATATTTTATCCTTTCAAGTACTTGGTTATATCTAGATCTTTGTGTTTCATATTTAATAAGATATTATACTACTAATTGAACAATATTGTTTTGAAATTGGTGCAAGTCAGTCAGGGTAATTGAAAACACTATTTGAAATTTCATGATGTCTAAGCATTCGAAATTTATTTAAAAATATACTGTTTCATATTTTAATAAAATTAAAGGTTTTTTTCTATTATACGAAAAGTTTACTGTAGAATGTCTTAAACATTAGTAACAAAAAGTCACAAAAAAAGAAGGTATCCAATGTTTCCATTTACCCCACAAATTTTAGGAAAAAAATGAAAAACGGGGGTAAATGTAGACAACAATCTCTGGTTCTATTAAACATAATCTAAACAAAACTGGAGTAAAATGATACATGGTTTGTAATCTTAAAACCATGCAAGTTGTTTCCATTAAACACACCAATGTTTCCAATTACCTCAGAATATATCAAATGTGCTTAGGAAACTTATCAAAATAAACATCTAAAAAATTTATTATCAAAATAAAATACATAGGTATAACAAACGAATTTTTAAAATTATAAATATTCACTTATTACTGATGTTCAAAAATATTTAACTTATTAGGAAACTTGTAAAACATTCTTTTACCTTCCATAAAAATATTTGCCTCAGGGGCTATACCAATAATTTGTTGAAAGTTGACGAAACTGATGTCAGTTTCCTGTATGGCAAATTGCCTGCAGGTACCATTCATACATTCTAGAGCTATAACCTTAATTCCATTTTCATCTCAATCAATATATTTGATCATACAAAGATATCTGTAAGATTTTGTCAGCCTTTTACCGCCCTTGAATTCTACTAATACAAATTTCCCCTGCTGTAGTTTGTGGTGTTCTGCAGCCTCTAGTTCTTGTAGCTCTTCTTCTACCGGTTCATCCCATGGACTGTCATCACTCTCAGCATAAGATACTTCTGTTTCACTTGCATCAGATGATGACAATGACTTTTTACGGTACTTTGTAATTGTATTTTTACTTGGTACTGAAGTTTCAAGTGAATCAGCAATTTTTCTAACTTTATTACTTTTTCCATTTCCTTTTTGCTTTCTAAGATCCTCCTGTTTCTTTATTCTGTTCGAAACGTCACTAGCAGATAATACTTCTCCATAGACCAATTGTTTTAGTTGAGGGATTATCTTTGTCTCTGTACGAGCAATTTCTTTAACTGTGTCAGAGTCAAGTTTTCTTGTTATTCTTGTTGACTCCACATGAAATATACGGTAAAGTTTGTCTTTGGTCGGAGAAATAAAACTAGACATATCTAATTCTGCAATTGCTGTTGCAGATTTAGTTACAGTTGTTTGGATGATGATGGTTTAGCTTCATTTATTAATGTTTTGTTAATAAATCCACTAGTATTTTCCTTATTCCCATCTAAAGTATTTTCACCAGAACTCTGTGAGTATTTTTTCTTTATAAAACTGAAGCTGCTCTGAATTAAATTCGGATTTAGGAAATTTTTGACTACTTACACATTAATAGTCTCAAAACCAGATATAATATTTTGTGAGAGCATAGCCTCCTGCCAAGTTTCTCTTAAAAGTTCTAAGAATTTGTCCTTAGATAAATGCCCAGTACCTTCCCCCAATCTCTTCTTTCCATATGCTACTAACTTTCGCCCTCATGTATATTTAACTAATTTGAAAACACACTTATCAAGTGGTTGCAATTTTTCCGTAAAATGACTGGGAAATCTAATAAGGTCAATGTTGTTTTAATGCTTGTTCAATTATTTGAATACTTATATGACTTCGGTGGCCATCATATAACAGTACAGCTTTTTGATTTGGTAAATTCTGTATCTTTGCACATGTGGTACAAATCCATTAAGAAACAATGGTAAAATTGAGGTTCCTCCATCCAACCATTCTTGCTAGAAGCTTAAAGAGTTCCTGTTATGGACTCTGGTGATACCTGCCTTGCTTGGACAGCAGCACCCTTAACAACGATGAGCGGTGGTAAATATTTTCCATCTACTGAAACACATGCGAGCACTGTCGTGGACTCCCGTCCAGAATCACCAGAAACTCTGCATAGAGCTTTACCCTTTGATCCTATAGCTCTAATTCTGGAGGGATCACTATTAAATCCACTCTCGTCAGCATTAAATACAAACATGGATTTACGCATGTTATTAAGGCCATTATTTTGAACAACTTCTTCTAGTTTATAATAGAAATCATAAATGATTTCTGGCTTTCGAGCATATTTTCTAAGTTTTTGAATATGCTCAGGTTTCTTTGGCGAAAGTGAAGGATGGCGTTTCATAAATGCGAGATACCAATCTTCACCAGGAATGCCATCTTTGAAGCGAGTTTTTAGGCAATTGTCTTTAACATATTCACCAACTATATTTAATAACTCTTGTTTATCGCAAGGATAGCCCACATTTGCTCCGGCTTTTAAATATGTCACAATATGGTTTTCAATTTTGTCTGACAATGCAGTAGACATTATAATAGTACCAATTTTTATTTCATTAATAGATTTATCAAAATGATTTCTCTTGTTAATGACCTGACAAACCCTATGGTTTTGATCCAGATTTCCTCCTCTGTTGGATCTTTGTTTCTGATATCTATGGTCAGTAAAAATAGTTTTTGTTGTAAAGTCATAATGATTGTAGTAAAGAAAGTGGATCTTTAATGTAGCAGTTTTCTAATGCAATTGACTAATATATAGATATTTGCTTTTAATTTTAATATTCTAATACAACAAAAGAGTACCATTGCATTTGTTTTCTCTACTCTACTCTAAACTGTTGTCCAGCAAGTGTGAACTGCCTATACCAACAGTAGTTTTTTTTCTTCGACTTCAGCACTACTCTACTGTGCCACTACTATTGTAAAAGACAAATTAGGTATTTGATGAACTTTCTTTCCTTTTTTTGGAGATTATCTTCGTTTTGGAAAATTTTGAATTACGTTTTTGGTTGTTGCTCTCAGATATTTTTTGTTGCCTTAACTCTTTATAGTTTCATCCATTATTAAATTGAACAGATGACTTAAAATGTCTCTCTATCTTATACCAGTGTCATATGTAATTGGTAATATGTAATTGGTGCTGTCATTTCTCTACCTGGCTTTGTAATTACACATTTTACTAATAAGTTTATTAACTAATTAGCTGTGTTTGATAATCTAATTTTTATTTTAGGTGGTTAGTACAATAGATCAAGTTAAACGAGATGCTGAGGAATCTATTAAATCATACCGTAATTCCGAAGAAAATAGAGCCCATCTTCTAGAACAACAAGTACAGGAGCAGCAGGCTTCTTTAATTTTGTTAAAACATGAAAAAAAAGATAAGGAGGAGCAATTGTCGTTACTTCAAAAAGAACTAGAAAGATTGCAAACCAAACAAAAGGAAATGTTACAAGAAAATAATAGTCTTTCTTTAAAAGTCCAACAATTGGAAAAGGACAGATCTGAGTCTGAAATAAAGCTTAGTGAACTACGCGGATGTGCCGATCAACAAAGGCAAGATGTGGTCGACTTACAAACTAAATCTGTACAGTTAGAACAGCTGAAACTTCAATTAAAACATGAACAAGATCAGCTTGCAGCCACTAACGAACAAATGGGTCTGCTTAAACAAAGAAATCTGGATTTAGAATCTGACATGGAAACATGCAGAACTCGAGAAGCCGAATTATTGCTGTTTACACAGCAACTGACTGATAAGAATGTAAGATTACAATCCGAATTTACTTCCATGGAAACAAGAGTTCAACAGTTAACATGTGAACATACTCTCTTAAAAAGACAAATTAAAGAACAAGAAACTAAGGCTAATATGTACTCCTCTAAGCTTAATGAAGAAAGGCAAAGGTATAAAGAAGAAAACGAGGATTTAGTCAAGAAGTTAACAGACAAAACTAAACTATGCGAAAAGCTTTCACAAGAAGCTACAGATCAGAAGTCAGAAAATATTGTTATAAAAAGGAAGTATGATATGTCTCTTAGGGAAGTAAATAGAGAACTACAACATTACCATAAAAAGCTAGAAAAATTCGAAGACCCGGATAAGTCTAGCAATAGTAACAGTAGTTCAAATTCATCACTAAACGTTAGTGACCGTTCTGTAGATAGACCAAATACCACAATAGATCAACAAACGTTGATAGAGCATATAGTTAAATTGCAAAAGATTAGCGCAAAAAAATCGGAGAAGATCGATTTTTTGGAGGAGCATGTAAATACTTTGGTTATAGAGCTTCAAAAGAAATCCAAGTTACTCCAAGGTTATATTTTGAGGGAACAGAAGACGTCGAATTCGATTAAAAAAGAGAGTAATAAAGTTAAGTAAATAAATATGTTATTGTTATGTTATTTAATGTGTCTATATATAAATCTATTATTTTTGTTGTGACTGAAACGTTTATCTCCTATCCTATGGTTACATTGTATGCTAGTCAATAAATGCTAAGCATTTGATCTCAATTTTTGTTTTCCATTAACCTTTATCTATGTTAACACTAGAAGCGCGGCTGTTCCAATTTGGACTCATTTTATGTAGTAGTATTGTAGTGTATTGTAATGTTCCATTTATGTTTATGATATTTTATGATGTTAATGTGTATATTATCAAAATACAAAAGGTGTTCCAAATGTATATTAATCAGTGTTCTCTAAAGGAGAGAGTAAAACCATCATATTTTAGAATGATTTTTAATACTAAGTATAACCTTAGCTTTACTACTACCCGTACAGATGTGTATTCCCTATGCATTAATAGGCGAGCGGTTTACTCCTATAAGCAGAGCATTAACCGACTAAAATTCTTTTTGCATTCCTAATGCACCAAACCTTTTTTATTCGATTCTATATATTTTTCCAAGATGAAATGTATTTTTTTTAAATTTTTACAAGTAGGCCGGCAATTGTTATTAACAAATAACTTATACAAAAAAGCAATTTCATCGAACTGCTTAGGAATCAATGTTTTAGGTGTATCTCATCAAAATAAACACTTTTTCTTTTTTGATAATTTTTCGAAAAATGCTTCCTTTTCGAGTTATTTGCATTTTTTTGTTGAAAAAAAATGCCTTAACCCAGATATTACTACCGTCCTTTTAAAAGGCAGTGTAAATTATGTGTAATTTAGGTTAGTACAGCTACCAACTGATAGATGGCTGTAGATGGAGTGTTTTCAAGAGCCAGCATTCGACAAGTTTTAACGATTTTAGTGCGCGCACATGCTGTAATTGTGAGGTTATGTGTGTAAATTGCCAGGTTTTGGACTACAAAATGGATGCTTATAATTGGAGGTAAGTCTAGAAATAAAAACTGTTATTTCACGGCATTGGCATGTGGATTATTGTATAATAGAGACTTATGTACGTATATTCTTGGCTCGAATAGTTGTCACGTTGTTTCAAAGACTCGCCGCTTGGGATTTCATTTTGTTCTTTTAAAAGGACGGTAGTAATTAGTACTACCAACGTGTGTATTGTTTCAGGAGGCCTCTCAAATTGCATGAGCTATTAGAAGAGCTTGATTCTGATGAAATCCCAGTCCCTCCAGATGGTTTGATCATATTTCCCCCAGAAAATGCCAATGATGATGTCAGCGATTGCGACTCCGGCGATGAAGAACTAACTACAATAAATAATTTACCGGGTAGTCAGATGAGAAACGATGTAGAACTTCGTTTCCAGCCTACCAGAAGAAGATTCGGATGATGACAATATTCCATTGTCTTTCCAAGGAAAAGATGCCCCATCAATTAGAGAAGAGAATATCTGCACACTGGATTCAAGGAGACTTGTATCAACACCCTGATTGTACTTACTGGAAAACTCAATTTGGACCGAAAATGACTCAGTCGCCGATGGAAATTTTCAATTTGTTTTTTGATGATGAAGTCATCAATTTGGTTACCGAATACACTAACATCTACGCAGGACAAAGAAATCTTTTGAACGACATTACTCAAAATGAGATTCGATGTTTTATAGGCGTTCTTGTATTGAGTGGTTATGTGGTTGTGCCGAAAAGGTACATGTACTGGGAAAATCGTGACCATTCGCACAACGTAATGGTGGTAGCTGCTATATTTAGGGATAGATTTTCCCACATAATGAGTTTTGCATGTTTGCAATAACTTGTCATTAGATAAATTTGATAGATTTGCCAAGATGCGACCCCTGTTCGACGTAATAAACAAAAAATTTATACAATTTTCCCCTTTAGAACAACATCACAGCATAGATGAGGCATAGGTTCCGTATTTTGGTCGCCATTCCACAAAACAATTCATCAGGGGAAAACCAATCCGTTGGGGGTACAAAATGTGGGTAGGAGCCCTTCGTCTAGGATACATAGTTTGGTTTTCTCCTTACCAAGGTAATTCCACTATAATACCTGAACAATATAAAGTCCTTGAATTGGGTGCATCAGTAGTTCTATCCTATGCAGACAGATTGAATGAAGTATGGCCTCAAAGGCGATTCCATCTTATTTTTGATAATTATTTTACTTCTATTCATTTACTGCATGAGCTAAAACAAAGAGGCATATTTGGTACAGGTCACTGTAAGGGAAAATCGCACCATGAAATGCCCTTTACCCTGTTCATCTATTATGAAAAAAACTGAACGTGGTAAATACGAGTATCGCCTTGATAAAAATACAGGAATAGTGGTTTGCCGCTGGCATGGTAATAATATCGTTTCTATTGCTTCCAATTTTGTACCAGTAATGCCTTGCTTCTCTGTAAAGAGATTTTCACAAGGAGAGAAAAAACATATTCAAGTTCCTCAACCAAATATTGTTAGAATATACAATAACTTCATGGGTGGCGTTGCTCGCAGTGACCAGAACATCAGTTTTTATCGAGTGTCCATAAGAGGAAAGAAATGTTATTTTCCCCTTTTTGCTTATATATTTGCTTATAATATTTTGGAAACTTTTTAAAGATTATTAAGCTATTTATAGAATTGCAATTCATTTAGTAGTTTTTTAGAAAAAAAATCCCAAAAATCACTAATTAAGGCATTTTTTCAACAAAAAATGCAAATAAATCGAAAAGGAAGCATTTTTCGAAAAATTGTCAAGAGAGAAAAGTGTTTAATTTGATGAGATACACCTAAAAAAATTGATTCCATTGATTGATTGAAATTGATTCGGCGAAATTGCTTTTTTGTATAAGTTATTTGTTAATAACATTTGCCGGCCCACTTGTAAAAATAAAAAAAAAAATACATTTCATCTTGGAAAAATATATAGAATCGAATAAAAAAGGTTTGGTGCATTAGAAATGCAAAAAGAATTTTAGTCGGTATATTCTCTTTATAAGCGTCTTTTGAGGGGTAAACTGCTCGCCTATAAATTATTGCATTATGTATGAAAAAATTAAAAGATCTGTGTCTACTACTCTAGTAAACTGTATTTGTATAGTTTTACCATGGTCCAGGTAACCTCTCACTCAAATCTTTCTAAAAAAAATGTATTTTCGTATTATTGGGCAGAGGACGAATTTGTAAAAGGTTCCAACAAAATTTCTTCCGCCGTTGAAGTAACCACTATTAGGCTAATAGCAGATTGCTGCAGTGTCCAAAATAAGAACACTACGCTAATTGGAATGTGTTGCAAATGTTGCATCAAGAGCACCAAAACATGTACAAAACATCGAGGTAATTTTTCCGGTGGTAGGTCATTGTTTCTTGCCAACTGATAACGTCAATTTTCAAACGACATATTTTCAAAAATAGCTATAATATAGTTACTTATTTAGGGCAAAATTGCAAAGTTTTTAATTGGAAAGAAACAATCTCAAGTGTTTTTAGACCCACTGGTACGTTTTCTTTTAAAAATACAAAGCGCTTTTTCCTAAGAAAATGCAAAACTGGAAATATTACCATTAGAGGAGAAATTAATTACAGAAATGGTTTGCAAACATTTAAAAGCGTTTTAAAGAAAGGTTGTACGATATATATGATTGACCCCGTTATTATAGAAAGTGGTCTGCAAAAAGTAAATTTACTTAAGCTTAAAAATGTTAATAAACTTCTCACCAAGCACTTTGGAAATACTTGAAGAACCATGGAAGAGCTCAAGATTTTTGAAGATATTATCTTTAATAATAATCAACTAGAGCAGCTAGCAGTTCAAGAAGAAAGTTCCTGATACTAAAGAAATAATAGAGGAAGTAACATGTGAGTTTTTGAAGAACTTCCTTCTATTTTAATATAATATGCAATACTATTTTGTTGCTTAAATTACATTATTTTGAAAACAAAACTCTCCAAGGTAAAATAAAAACCGTTTATTATTTTCTTGTCGAATTTTAGTATCAAAACCGGCAATATACCTATATACACCTTTTAGTATCAAAACCAACTTTCTCCATTATTTTTTTCTTCCAGTTTCTTCACTATTTGCTGTCATTTGCCATTGTCTTATAAATTTAACTATATTTGTTTTGATATCACCTAAAATAAGGGCATATCATTATTTTGCGGTTTACTCAAAAGCCAAAATGATGCAGATTGCCGAATTTGTTACGAAGTTGCTCAAAAATAACCTGATGTACTGTTATTTTAGTTGCCTACCTATTAGGGCTAGTGCACTTAATAGTTTAATTTGCATTTCCTGATTGATATTGCATTGCATAGTTGAAAACATGCCCGAAAGATAATTTTAAGGTTTAAAAAAAATACAATTTTTCATTTGCGGAAAATAGAACGCATTACAATTGTTATTATCACAGAAATATTGCTTTAACCTTGGCATAGTTCATTAGTAAAATAAATAATATACCACAAATAATAATGATGAAACACTTACCAGTAAAGTAAATGTGTGATCTGTAAATTAAAATTAAAAAATTATGTTCTATTAATATCAAATAATCGTAAATATTATATATCTACCTGTTAATGTATCTGCAAATATTTCACAACAAAAATATTTAGCACTGCAAAACTAACCAATTTAAAAAACGTGATTACTCTGTTGACATGATTAATCATGTGTAGGTATACAAATTACAAAAGGTAATTTTTTAAAACTATATATATTAGTTATGAGTGGGCCGATAACATTTTGGAGTTTTTTTAGAGATAAATGCTTGATATAATTCTAGAAAAAAAATTGACCTTAGTGTTATTAGATTAAAAAAATCATTAACAAAATGATATTAAACAAATTATCTAGAGTACTTATATGATGCAATATAGGTACTTCTTTGAGTAATTGCTTATTTAAGATTGTGTATGAACAAATAGAACATGAGTGCATGTCATATAATCTGATTATAAAATATTACATTATAATAAAAGTTAAAATCTGATAACAAAATAAAAAATGTATAACTTTCCGATTCCTTTATGCTGCGCCATCTATTGGTTGTTTTTACACACCAAGTAAAAGTTTGCTGTAAGAGGGATTGGAAAAGTAAATAGAAATCGTTGTTTATTTAAATTGCAGTAGAGGGAGAC